CGGTCCACGAGGCTTGGCAACCGTCAGCCGCCGTCGCCGCCGTTCGGAGCGCCTTCGTCCTCAGCGTGGCGCTCGGCTGGTCTCAACCGGGGAACGCCGGCGGGTCGGCGATTGGAGGGCGTGTGTGTTTTGGCACCAATCCGTGCCGCGCCGCCTCTCAGCCGGACCCGACGTGCTATACCGCCCTGGGGAGAGGCGTCGCCGATAGGAAACCCCGGTGGCGAAAGCCCCGCGGGTCTTCCTCCATCGCCACGTGCAGCGGCCGGACATACCGCTTGCTAGTACCGTTTTCCAAGAGAACCAGTGTCAATGGGCCGGCGTTCCTCTGGGGTTTCGTTATCCGATTACTGGAGAACCGTTTTGTGGTGGCTGGGTTTTCATGATGGCAAACCGCAACCGTTTCATCGATCCCGCTCCCTCAAGTCGTCAGCGATCATCGAGCTGGTTCTTTGTCTGAGCTTTGTTCAGCATGTGCATCATCCCCAGGGTCTTTTTCTGTTCTGGAATCTTGGTCTTTCCTCAAACACGTTGTTGGGACCGGCAGAACGAACACTGTGGCGCGTCAAGTTCTTTGTTCAGAAGACTGGCGCCTACGACGTCGAAACCAATCATCATGACCGGACAACAACATGCTGAGGCCAACGGGAGATGAAACATGTATCGTGTCTCGTTCCGAGATCATTTGACCGTCTTCCGGCCGGCATACGTGTATCTTGGGACCCTTCGCCGGGTTCGGATAACCCCGTTTCCGGAACTGATCTCGGGATTGCCCTCGGGCCGGGTACCGCAAAAGCGGGGCTGTTCACCGGGTTCCGGGTCTGGGTATCGGTGTTTGCCCCGCACTCTTCCGAACATCTGGCCGGGAGGGACACCGGCGTCCGAAACCGCATCCGGACGTGAAAGCGACTGCTTCGGCTGTTGTTGGCCAATTGCAACAGCTGTTCGGTCCGACGACGACAACTGCCGTATCTCAATCAGGAGCTTGACGTCGTTCTTTCGCCGAGGTGGCGATTCCCCGCCCTTCTGCTGCAGAAGAAGCAATAAGAGTCCTCAAAAGTTCCCTTTCCAACGATTGGGATGGATGGCACACCTCTCTATTTCCGCTGATTTGCCGCGCGACCGACGCAGGGGCATTCGCGTCTGTCACCCTCCACGACTTGCTCGTCGGAATTGGCAACCGAAAGAAACAGAAGCGAGAAAAACCTGCGGGTGCTGGCATCTTAAGGGATGACTGTGGATGGTACGGGCGGAAGGGAACTACCCGCAGTTGGATTATCTGCATGTCTCTCCTGAGACAATGATTACATCCGATTCCTCGCGGTATCATCTTTTCCGCGCGGGATCACGAAAAGTGCGGGCAGAAAGAATATGCTGCAGACACGAGATGCAACGACATGCAGCCGGTGAGCGCGAGGAATTGTTTCTGCAATAGAACGCGCGGCGTATTGTTTCGTCCCCGCAAATTGTCATTGCAGACATGTTCGGCCCAATTGACCAAGGAAGGACGACGAAATCACGTCTGCGGGCTGCGAATGATGAGATCAGTGGCACGCGCGTGGGTGGAGGATGACAAGCACACAACCTCAACGTTGAGAAGGGTGCAGTTCCCCTCGCAGGAAGATGGTGAGACATTGTCTGGCATGTGAATGTGGGCGTATGTGGCTGGTGCAGTGGTGCGGTGGGAACCGCAAGCCGCTATCAAGCTGCAAGCCCAGGGGGGACAGACAGGGGTCACACCGAAAAGTGCCGCTATCACGTCGAAATTGTCCGATGATAGTCGTGAGAGACGAGCATGATGATTTGATTACCCTGGAAGAGAGAGCACGGCGTGGCATGAGTGGTCGTCAGGCACAGCAGTACTTTTTCGCCAAAGTGGCGACGAGAGGAGTCTGAGTTCATTCGTCGCCTTGGCTTCCGAGGTGGCATTTCCAGACGACTCGAGCATGGGGCGTTTTTGATGGAGGATGAGGATGGGAGCCGCGGCAGAAAGGCACCCAGTTCTCACGAGGTGATCTCTATCTCCTCCCCGGTTCAGGGGTTCGACAGAGCAAGCTCGTGAAAGGCGAGAGAGATTGGAAGGGTTCTGGCGCATCGCGGCGTATATTATACTCAATCTCATGAAAGCTGGCTTCTCAGCTGGCGGCTCCGGTCGAACTCTAGATGACGAGGAGGGGAAACAGCGCAGGAGACTTGATCCTGTGGCGTCGCCAACTAGACCGGATATTGAAGGTGGAAGGGAAGGGGACGCAGAGAGGCCCCGAGCGAAGCCGGGCTGAAGACCGGACCAACGTAGCATGGTATCAAAGCGCGCTTCCACAGGGCTATCAAGGTCAGGGTGGTTTGGTCGCCCTTTTAGATCGACAGTTCCTGAGAGCCGGGCTTGATGGACGTGATACCTCACAGGTATCGCGCTATCGCATGTAGTGCAGGACAGCGCAGACGTTGGCTTGGGAAATCTCGCCGTGATAAGGTTTTTGGGGTTGGTGAAGGCGATAAGCTAAAGGCAGGGGGCCAATTGGATCGAGGCAGGACGGCTCCCCGCGACCGGGGGGCGCACGCAAGAGCAGTAGCCCTCCATCCGTGGCCCTACTTCAGTACATTGACTGTTCCAATGCGACAAGTAAGACGAGACGGGAAGGATGGGGATTGAGGCAACGGGACGGACATGGCAGGAGACAAGCAGCGTCACGAAGTGGTGAGGTTCGCCTGACTTGTAGCTGGCAGGTACCATGTTGGCAGCCGGTACCTGACGAGGGAGCCGTCCTCAAGGTGTCGACACCCTCTCCCGTCCTTCCCCCTCGTGCCTCCGTGCCTCCTCATCTGCCATCCCACTCACACACAGACCGAAAGCGTCTTCCCGTTCTCTGGGACACAGATCAACAGTTGCCTCGAGGACTTTTCTGAGATAAGGCACGGCCACGGCATACGTGGTGGGCGGCGACTCGACATTGACCAGGGGGTGAACAGACGGGGAGGAGAAATTGGCCGTGAGTTCGGCTCGGCTCTTCTCCTCCTCGTCTCTGTCGTAAGGCTTGGTGTGCAGTGATACCATCTCATGGCGACATGATGACGAGCCTTGGGGAGCCGTTCAGACGCAGCAAAGCGCAGGCGTTTCGTGCATGCATTCTCTCCTCCATCCTTCCCGTGCGAGACGCGCGACCTATGGTCCGATCCAACCATTCGTCGCCATTCGATTGTCTAATTAGGTAGCAGCGAAACGAAAGATGCCGTGTCTTTTGCGGGAGGAATAGAAGTAAAAAAGCGGCTGCACAAGAAGCTTACCTGACGGCAAGGACCTTCCCCTTGCCAGTGCTGGAGGTAGGTACCTGGCCCTTTTTTTTTTTTTTTTTCTGTGGAATGTTATGTAGGCCGCGGGAACCTTCCCTTGCGCGGGAAACCAGGTCATAGAAACACCTGAAATAGGAAAAATGAACCCGGCCTTGGACTGCGGACTTGAATCGCATGTCATCGAGTCGCGGCATCAGGTAATTGTCGAATAATTATCACGAGAGAGAGAAAGAAAAAGGTCGGGATGCCGGTACCGATGTCGTCGACCGGCCCCTCTTTTTCCTTCTTTTTCTTATTCCACCTCGACCACATGGCGGGGCGAACAACCACTTTCACATGTCAAGAGCCGGGGTTCGCGATAGGGATGCATGGCAAGCTGTGCTGATGATGCTGCTCTGCTGCTGCTGATGTTGCTGGGCGAGTTGTACCCTTTACTGTGAGATACCATACTTTGCCCGTGTGTCCCCGTCCCGTGCATCAGGTCGTCAACTCCCGGGATGGGATGCACCTCGGAGGAGTAGCTACGAGATAAGGTGCGACGGCTTTGATGGGCTGGATTCCTATTCCACGGTACACGGATCTGTGGCTTGAATTTGCGAATGACGAGGGAGAAATTTGGGGGCACCCAAGACAAGAAAAAAAAAATTAAGAAGACAGGGGTAAGAGGAGCTATTCGGGCACATTAGGGGAGAGAAAAAAAAAAGGGAAGGAAGCTTCGCTCCAGGACTGAGCAGTTATCTCCCGCTGGCATGCGGGATCAGTTTAGGTGAATTGAGGTGAAGCAAGTGAGCTGGTATTGGTATGAGATGGGAGGTACTGAAGGTAAGGTATCTCGTGAGTGCAACACAATGCACGAATGGACCGAATAAGCTGTCGTCAGGTACCTCGTGGGTACGGATACCTCACCACGGGCCCCGCCACCATGGGCATTCCTGCGCGTTCTCGTTGGTCTCTTTTGCTCCCATTCGACGACAAGACGCTGCGTTGTCGTCGAAAGGGACGAAAAGCACATGTTAATCAGTGCCAGTCGGGTCCCGTCAAGTCAAGTCTTCGCTCTTAGCTCTACTCTTAGCTCTAGCCTGCCTTTTTTTTTTCTCCCAAGTCCAAGTCTCCCCTAAGATCCACGTCGTCCACGTCCCCCCCAATCCACGTCCACATCTACCAAGGGGTTCGGGCCAGTCCAAATACAAGATGAAGTAGATAAATACTTTCATTTCTGTCCATGCCCGTCTGTGGCGTCCATCTCGTCACCATCCATCCCCCCCATTTGCGTCCAGTCCATTGCAGAACAAGCTCGTCTTCGTTACGTTCCAGCTGCTCCTGTTCCTGCTCGACCTCCCTCCCGTCCCTTTTAGCTTTACCTACTCCCTCCCCCCAATCCCTTTCTTCTCCCCCCCTCCCGTCCTCCAAAACCTTCTATCCGTCCTTTTCCTTTTTCCATCCTTTCCGTCGACCTGAATCCAACTTCTGCTCTGCCTGCTGTTCTCTGCTCATCTCTCAGAACTGCCCGCTTACATCTCTGCTCTCGACACCCCAATCCAACCCTTACCACATCGCTTTGCAGCTACCTGTCACGAGATTTAAGCTCACGAGCCTCACTCAACCTCACCTCCTACCGTTCGCTGGAACAACCTCACTCGAGCGTCCGCACAGCACCGTTCCAGTAGCCTCCTACCTACAACATCAACTTCACCCAACCCAACGTCGCCTTCATGTCCAAAATGGCCCAAGTCAACGGTGACCTCCCGGCTGTCAACTCGGCCACTGCCCAGGTAAGTCTCCCTTCATCGTGGCATCGGCTATCTATCACGTCCACAGCTAACAGGTATGTAGCACTTGCTGGATTACCCCGTGGTCCACGATGGCGTCGTTGCCTTCAGGAACAACCCGTACGGCAAGAGATCCATCGCCCTGGGTGACTCTGCCTACAAGACGTTCGCCGAACCCCTCCTCCCTTACTTCGCCCGTCCCTGGTCAATCATCCGCCCGTACGCCGAGAAGGCCGACAGCATCGGCGACCAGACTCTGACCAAGGTCGAGGAGCGTGTCCCCGTCATCAAGAAGCCTACCGACGAGCTGGTCGCTGGTGCCAAGGGCATCATTGCCCTGCCCTTCCGCACCGGCTACGAGGCCAAGGACCACGTCTTCAAGACATACTCCCAGGAGAAGAAGAAGATTGGCGGCGAGAACCTCGTCACCTACGGCAAGGCCCTCGTCAGCACCACCCTCATCACCACCAGCGAACTCATCATCTGGGTCGGCGACGTCATCCACTACAAGAAGGAGGAGGCCAAGGACGTTGTGAACGAGAAGGTCAACAACTAAGCGACTTAGTTGGCGCCAATCCGGCTCTGCAACGTGTGCTGCTGTACATCTGCCCGCACACGTGTAGCCCGGCTGTTTCACACCTTACTCTCCCCATTTCATATACCCTTCCCTCGCGGCATATCTGAACTATCCTTGGGTTCGGGCCGCAGTCATGATGGCAAACGCTACAACGACATACAGCAAGGACCGCAACTTATACCTCGGATAAAGGGCTCTTTTGTATTGAATCTTGTCTGCTTTCCTTTGTTTGTTTCACCCGAAGGTGTACGAGAGGTGAGATATCTTTGGCGCGCACCGCTCCAGCCCTGCCTCTCGGGGCCAGTCGAGCTGGGGCTTTCCCGCCGGGACTTGATGGGCCGCCAAGACGCACGCGATGCTTTCCAGGGTCGATCAGCTTGGCTAAGGTACTGATCGACCTCCAGCCACTGGGGCGGGCGCAAATCTTTGATCGGAGGGCTAAGTTTTACTGGTGTCGGAGTCTGAAGGAAATGGAGATAGGAATCAAAATTAATAGATACTTGTGTTTCCTACCTGATAAGGACGTGCTGTAATGGGCGCATGACAGTGACAGTCGCTGTCGTGGTTTGCATGTGACGTAGTATAGCTCCGAGCCGCTCGGTTTTGTTGAGGACGAGCGCGAACCCCAATCTTGTGGCATGGATCAAGTAATGCCTCCTGCGTCGCCACGATTCTGAAGGGAGAGACACGATTGGAATCGCCCGAGGTCGAAGCTAAGAGGCGTAGGTTACACAGGCCATGTGGCGAAAATCGATGGCGAAGAGGAGGACGGACGGGACGGGACAGGACAGGACAGACCACCACCTCACCCCACGTACGCATGTTCGGAGAAGGGAAAAACATCGTGGAGTCGGATATTTTTCTCTAGCCAAACTCAATGCCGTTTTCTGGAGTAGCTTTTCATCACTTTGGCAACTCTATCCGGCTCGAGATCAGATCAACAAGGAGCGACAAGGAGAAGGGAAACCGGGGAAGGTTACCGCCAGCTGATTGGGTCAACTAAGGAAGGTAGCCAAACCCCCCGCCCCCCAAAAGGGTTCGCCATCATGACCACTCGGTGTGTCAGCGACGAACAGCTGCTGGTTGCGGCGTCATTGGGCGGGGCGGATCCTCCCTCTCTCCAGGTGCAGTGTGAGGTCCCGGGTCTGCTTGCTCCGCCCAGTGCTACGTTTCCGCCGCGCGCGCGGGTACCTTAGGCGGTCGGTCGGCAAAGACCGCGCGCTGGAGGCTCGCGGGGCGAAGTCCCGAGTTTCCTGCTTGACGACTGCTGATGTAAAATTGACTAATGCCGGCTGCTTACCAGAAAAGTGCATAACGCAGCATCCTCACGATGCTGGCCCAGCGTGCCGTTCGCGAGTGGAGAGGATCTGAGAAAAAAGGAGGAAAGAAAAAATCGCATTTGTATTTCATTAGTCAATCGGAGCGCTCAGATTCTAGAAGGCTCATTCATACCCGATCTCACTCATCCCACTCACTTGAATCAGGTCCAGTTGCATCAACTGAGAATCTCCGTATAAATACCACCCCGGTCATCGTCCCTCCTCAATGAAGTCCGTCTCACTCCTGCTATCCATCATCGTGGGGATTACGTCGATTATTCTCTTCAGACAAGAGCTACTCACAATCGCCATCGCAACGACAGACAGCGTCTTCAACTTGACGAGCAGCGCCTTGAATATCACACTTAAAACAGAGCCGAAAGAGCAAGTAGACCATCACTTGTACGCCACCGAAATGTCGATTCCTCGCGCAATCCGCAAGGTCTTTCTGGCCGTCGAGCAGGCCGAGGGCGCCGGTGCCCGCGTTCGCCGCTCCATCGGAACCCCTCAGCTGCGCAACTTTTCCCCTTTTCTGATGCTTGGTGAGTACAAACCATCAAATTCGTGATGAGAAACTTGTGACTGACTCGAAGAAAAGACCACTTCCGCATCTCCCCTGGCGCGGGCTTCCCCGACCACCCCCACAGAGGCCAGGAGACCATCACCTACCTGCTCCACGGCGGCGTCGACCACGAGGACTTCGCCGGCAACAAGGGCACCATCGAGACGGGCGACCTGCAGTTCATGACGGCGGGCCGGGGCATCATGCACGCCGAGATGCCCAAGCAGAACCCGGACGGCAGCGCCAACGTCGGCCTCCAGCTCTGGGTCGACCTGCCCAAGGAGCTCAAGGCCTGCGAGCCGCGGTACCGCGACCTCCGCGCCAAGGAGATCCCCACGGTGGACGCCGACGAGGGCAGGGTCCACATCAAGGTCATCTCGGGCCAGAGCCACGGCGTCGACTCGGTGCGCGACCTCGCCTACACGCCCGTCTGGATCCTGGACATCCGCATCAAGCCCGGCGGCAAGGTCGCGCAGCCGCTGCCCAAGGGCTGGAACGCGTTCGCGTACACGCTCGAGGGGCAGGCCATCTTCGGGACGGGCGCGCAGCAGCGCGTGGTGGACCAGTTCCACAACGTCGTGCTCGAGCAGGAGGGCGACGTTATCAACATCGAGGTCGACGCCGGCGCGGAGAAGGACGCCCGGTTGGTCCTGATTGCCGGCACGCCGCTTGACCAGGAGGTCGTGCAGTACGGGCCGTTTGTCCTCAGCTCCAAGGCCGAGGTATACCAGGCTCTGATGGATTATCAGACGCACTCGAACGGATTTGAGAGGGCCGAGGGCTGGCAGAGTGAGATTGGGAAGACCATGGTGGAGTAGACGGCTGTAGAGGCATTTTCAATTTTGTGCACTTGTTTTTAGGATACCATGTGGTGGCATTGAGCGGATGAGAGTTATTGGGGACCAGCATACGATGAGCTTTAGACTATGAGAAGATACCAAACAATTTGTTTCTTGTTTTCACCTGCTCAGTCTTATTTTCCAGCCGATTTATCTTGACGATATCTTCAGCAGTTTGAAACGAAGCAACACACAGGGGAAAGGACTGGATGCCTTCAACTTCATTAATAAGCTATATGCTGAAAGCATGCAAGACAGATATTCAAAGATATACAAAGCTCCATTCTCTATGATCCAATCATATGCTGTGATAAGTAGACCTCAATGTTCAAAGGTCGAGACAAGCTTGCTTCTGCAGCGAACATGTTCCTCGTGCACAGACCCCACCAAAGTCCGGGGCTGTTCGTTCCCGCCCGCAGCAGGAAGCAAATGCACTGGCCGAGTCCTGCACCGCCCCCACGTCCCTCCCTTCCAGCTAAGGCACCTCTATGCGGTGTCATCCATGTACACGAAACCCAAATCGCGGCGCGCAATGCGACGACATCCGAGCCCAATCTAAGACTATACGATTATGAAGAGACAGCAAACGATCCACGCTCTTTAATATCCCACAGACTCCTCCTCCTCCCCACGACCGATTGACCGAGCCCTTCGACCGGAATACCAAGCTGGGCCGCCAGCAAGCCAGCCCACCATGGATGCGCCCGTGCCGAAGCTCGCGGAGCTCCTCCGCCATGCCGACGACCTCGACAAGATCGCCGGCCTGAAGCAAGAGTTCTCCCGCAAGAAGGGCGCCGTCGACTCGCAGCTCCGGAGCGGTCTGCGCGAGCAGCTCGAGACGACCCAATCGGGCATGACGGGCCTGACGGACGGCCAGAAGACGGTGCAGCAGATCAAGGAGGAGATGATCAAGATCGACCGCCTGTGCTCCGAGTCGCAGAACATGATCAAGGACTTCAACAGCATCAACCTCGTGTCCCAGGCGCACCGCAACTTCGGCGCCGTCGAGGCCATGCGCAAGAACCTCGAGACCTTCAACGAGCGGCTGGCCATCATCGAGCGGCTGCTCAGCGAGGACGAGGGCGACAAGGAGAACATGCCCAACCTGCTGCCGATCCACTACGAGCTCACCCAGCTGAGGAACATTCGAGACGATGCGATGGAGCAGATACAGAGAGCCGAGGATCCGGGGCTGGAGTCGACGCTCGAGGACTACTTCCAGAGGCTGGATACCATGATTGACTGGTTCGACGAGCACATCGGTATTCTGGCGCTGAACCTGATCAACCTGGTCGTCAACGACAACAACGGGCTGGTGGTGCGCTTCGCCGTCGTGATCGAGGCGGAAGAGAAGAGCGACCAGCGGGTGCTGGCACTGCAAGAAGCGTTGAAGGACCACAAGGAGATGGCAACGAGGTTTCAGAGCATCACCGACGGTGCGAAGAAGGTCCGAGGTTATAAAGATAAGTTCACGCAGGCTATCAAGATCAGCGTCGAGGGACAGTTTGCGGAGGTCAGGGGGGAGTTCTTGGACGACCCCTCGGCACTAGACAAGATCTTGAAGTGGTACTTCAACGACCTGAACGCCGTGAAGATGGGCATGACCCCGTTGATGCCGAAAAAGTGGAGGATTCTCAAGACATACGGCGACATATACCACCAGACGATGCACGACTTCCTCGTCGGCATGATCGACGACCCAGATTCCACTTCCGCCAACACATTAGAAATCATCAACTATCCCGAAAAGTATTACAAGAAAATGAAGAAGCTAGGGTTCAAGCAGGAGGACCTGACGCCTCACGTCATCGACTCCAGAGAAACGGAGCTGGTGCGCGACTTCCGGCAGCTCATCATCAAGTTCCTCGACGACTGGATCGAGCGAATCTTCACCGCAGAGCAGAAAGACTTTGCCGAGCGCAACGTCGAAGGATCCAACCTGGACCAGGACGAGTATGGCTATTTCCGGACCAGGAATCTCGTCGACATGTGGCGCATGCTGCGTGAGCAGATCGACGCGGCCGCCAACTCGAAGCGCATGGACGTCCTCGAGGGCGTTATCGACGCCATGTTCCTGCGGTTACGCGGCCGGCAGCAATCGTGGCAGAAGATGCTCGACGAGGAGGCCGTCAAGTACGAGACCGGCAAGGTGCCGGAGCTCGAAGGGTTCCAACAGCTCCAGGACTGGCTCGTGGCCACGGCGAACGACCAGATCGCCTGCGTCGACGACAACGAGGACGAGGGCCGACTGGCCTACCTGTCCAACTTCAAGCAAAAGTTCGAGCCGCTCGTGTCGCCGGCGTACATGGAGCGCGCCGAGGGCGAGGTCGAGCTGCTGAGGGACGGCTACGTGGACTTCAGCACGTGGTGCATCACAAAGTTCGTCCAGCTCATCTTCTCGGTCGACTTCAAGATGGTCATGCCCGACTTCTTCACACCCAAGTGGTACACGAGCACCGCCATGAAGCAGATGATCGTCACCTTCGAGGAGTACGTCAACGACTACAGCCAGGTCCTACACCACTCCCTCGTCGACATCTTCACCGAGATCTTCGCCGACGAGCTCCTCGTCCGCTACCTGTCGTCCGTCCGCAACAAGGGCGCCAAGTTCCGCCGCTCCGACCCCTTCCAGGACAAGTTCTTCAACGACATCTCCACCGCCTTCGAGTACTTCGGCGCCCTGCCCAACCCGGCCGTCGGCGCCTCCGTCAAGGAGAACTGGCGCGTGAGCGAGTACTTCCTGCAGCTCCTCATGGCCGACAAGGACGCCCTCCCGGACACGTACGCCAACTTCAAGACCGCCTACTGGGACCTGCAGATCTCCTGGGTCGAGGCCGTGCTGCGGTCGCGCGACGACTTTGACCGGAGCATGCTCAACGCCGTCAAGGCCCGGGCGGCGCAGGTCGACGTCGAGAGGGGGCCGGAGACCATCATGAGCAAGGTCAAATAGTGGGTCAAGAGCGAGACGAGGAGACAGCCAGGGGTTGGAGTTTGAAATGTTTGCGGGTCGATTTTGGAGCTGTGTAGTTAGGTACTGATGCAGAGAGAGAGGGGGGGAGAGAGCGCGGGGAAAGCGGAATCTGCGTCTTTGCAATCTTGGAAAAAGAAAAAGAGTCCACGACCCGTAGAGAGCAACGGGGCTTGAAACGACGATAATGATACAGCCATGATGATCACCCTCTCCTTCCTTCCTCAGGCACTGGGGATTTTGTTCTTCTTCATGTGCCGAATCTGTCACCGTCCGATGCCTGCGAGCTCAGTGTGATCACCACGACCATGTTACAAGCGATGAAGCCAACAGCCTGTGTCAGGAGAGAGACGTGAGTGGAGAGGACGGGCAGAGGCAGACAGACGAGGCTTTGGGATGCGACACGTGTTCGAAAAGAGCGTGGGGAGTCACGTATCACGGCGGGCAGAGAGGGTGAGACGAGGGTTGTGGGTGGTGCTGTGATTAAAAAGGGCGCGGGCAGGACAATTTAATCAATCTCAATACCAAGGTTAGTGGAAGTCTAAGTTGAGGATCGAGGAATATGGACTGTCGGGCTGGGAGCAAGGAGACGACCACGGCTGAAGCATCATCGATCGGTTTTGTTATGACGTTTTGTTATATTACGTTTCTACTCATACGATAAACTTTTTGGCTACGACGTCCATCACGTTCAGTCATTTACGGGTGTGGGGCCTACTACAGTGTTCGTCCGTCCTTCACGCCATTACGTCCCTCGTAAGAAGCCATGTGTATCGTGCATCCATTGATTACCATCTCAAAAAGAAGACGGGAAATAACTCATCATGCCTGACCCTTCAAAAAAATCCATCCGTCAATGTTCTGTCCATCTGACCTTCCTTCCTCCATCTCCCAAAGATGTGCCCATCACTGATGTGTGTCGAGCTCACGACTGGTAATAAAGTAAGGCTGAACTGGATGTGGAGCAAGATTAGGAGTCCAGGCGGGTATTTGCGGCCCAAATTGCGCATCGAAACCGAAAAGCAAGCAAGTGTACGAAAATACATCCGAGCGAAAGGCTTAGATGAGCATGGCAGCAAGACCGACGCCCGCCAAGATGCCAGCAGCAACGCCAGCAGTCTGCTTGGGAGCCTGGGGGACAAGGTCAGTACATGATATCAACGTGATGGAGTGATCAAGACTTACAAGACCGGTGGAGGAGGCGCTGGTGGCCTCGCCGGTGGTCTCAGTGGGAGACTGGGACTCGGTGGCAGAGGGGGTCTCAGAAGCCTCAGTGGCACTGGCAGACTCGGTGGCATCGGTGAGAAGAGTAGTCTGACCAATGTTGCCGCCACTGGTGATGGTGCTAACAACACCAGTGGTGACGACCGAGGAGTTGGGAGCGCCAGTGGCACCAGGGGTACCGCCAACGCCGAGGAGAGTGGTCTCACCAACAGAGGTGATGGTGGACTCGCCGCTGGTGATGACCGTGGTGAAGGTCGAGGTAGAGACGGGAGTGGGAGCCACAGTCTCGCTGTTGCCTCCTCCAACAGAGGGGGCAATGGTAGTCTCGCCGATCAGGGTGGAGAAGGCGCTGCCACCAGAGGTGATGACACTGAAGATGCTGGAGACGATGGGGGTAGCAATGACCGTCTCGGTGCCAGTGGCCTGGGTAGCAGTGGCAACAGGAGCCTGGGTGATGGCAACGCCAGCAGCTGGGAAAGTGATCAGCATGTATTCTTGCGCGTGAGGTTGTGGGACTTACAGCTGCAGATCTCACGACCGCGAGCAGCAGCAAGCTCAGCATCGCCCTCGTTGAGGCAAGACTCAAAAGAGCAGTCGCGGATGCCGTAGTAGAAGTCAGGGTTGCGGCAAAGGCAGGCAGTGTCGCCATCGGTGCAGCCAAGCTCCTGGGCCTTACCCTCCATACGCTGGATGCAGGAGTTCTGGATTGTGTTAGCAGACTGATTTGGAAAAAAATCTTTTATTCCCAAGATGTCTGGTGACAGGTATCTTGGGTAAAAGATCATGTGCTGGAGAAGGGAGGAAACACTTACGCCGCACTCGGGAACGTTGCCCTGAGCCATGGCAAAGGAGACCATGAGCAGGCCGGTGCTGAGATACTTGGCGGAGTACTTCATGGTGATTGATTGATGAAGTGAAAAGTTCCGTGAGCTGAAAAGAGTGAGTGGTGAGAAGGCCGTCAAAAAAGTGAAGGACCTGTCCAAGAGGGTTAGAAAATCCGGATTGCGCGTAACAAAAAAAAAAAGAAATAGCAGCAAAGGAAATAATGACAAGCGCAATAAAGCGGCAGTGTGAATCTGGCGATGGGATAAATACCTGTTGATAGAGAGCGTTGTGGGATTCCAAGTGTGCAGGTTGTGAATATTTGATAGCGAGAGTGCGTGGGTGGAAGTGTGAGGTGGAAGAAGGAAGAAAGTGGTGGGTGGTTGAAGGGAAAAAGGTGAAGGGTTTGTGTTGTGGGTGGGAGGTGGGAGGTGGGAGGGGAAATGAAAGCGTTACGCAAATCTGGGAAGTTGCAACTGAGGGAAGGCGCGGTGTGACCGGGAAGGATGGAAGGAGGCAGGTCTCAAATCACACAAAAGTGTGAGAACGGTGCTGGGTGTTTTGAGGCAGATTTTTCTCCTTGGCGTCAAAAAAGACGGAAAATTGGGAGGCTCAGCAAGGAAAGTGAAGATGGTGAAGGTGAAGATATGGAGAGAAACGCGGCCACAGACGGCGCAGGCTGAGGAGGATATTGATAAAATATTGAAGTGGCAACTTACCTACTGGATTTCTTGATGTATCGGAGCTGATGAGGCTGCAGATAGTCTTTCGATGGGTGCGCGGGATAAGTTTGTGAAAAAGAGAGAGATCGAGAGAGAGTGGTGTTGATGATGGAGAGATTGAGTTGTCGAGGTGGAGGGCAGGGGGAGATATCTCGGTCGACCTGAGGTGCGGGGCGGGCCCTTTTCTTCCTTTCTACGCGTCGGGGAAAACAATACCACACGGGTCTAAGCGAGAGGAAAAGGCTAGACAAAGTCGGCGGAAGGAGGTGCTTGCCGTTTTTAAGGTGAGTTGATGGGCGGAGAGGTGTGGGAGGTTGTTGACTTGGGCTGGCAGGCCGACACAGACCACACTCATGACCCCGGTACTGTGCCTTTCTCGGTCTCTTTTCAAGCTAGGAGGGATACTGGATACCGATTTGCCTTACATTGACTTCATATGATTTACTGCCTTAGGTAGGGTATCTTTCCAATCAACCCCGGTCGTGACCTACAGAATACTTCAAGACTGCCTGGATGAAAGCTGCTGTAGATGGTTGTTTTCTTCGTGTGTGCTTGCCTCCATGTTCACGATGAGGCAGACGACGGGTGAAGACCATTGGAAAGTAGACAAACGAATTGACAAAATCTGTCTAGAGCTGTCAAAGAATGGCGCGGTTGAGGCGCAGAGATCTTTCCCAAGCTGAAGCTTGTCCGTGGCCCCAGTGCCTTGGATGGCTGTGACAGGAACCACGAGCACGTCCAAAAACAGCTAGCTTTAGCCTTATTTCAGCCCTTAACTTCGCTGTCAGGTCCGAGGAATATCGGGCCGGTAACTGCCAGCTCAAATGCGACTGATCAGTTGTTTACGACGTCGACTTCAGGAAAGACGCCTCGAAGCTACAGCTGATCTGCTGATTTTGAAGACCGTTGACTTGATCCCCAAGTGCTGTAACGAGCCAAAACGCCAGAATAGATGGGAAATTTGAGATTGGGGGATGATAATTACCGTAGAGAATGATCTTGGTTCTGACCAGGATGCGGCCTACAACTAGGACCGTCGCCCCAACTGCCAAGAACCTTGAAAAATCCCGAATGTACATCCCAGAAGCAAGTCTTGTTGCCATGTGGTGACCACGACCAATCATGAACTACCTGTGTAATATTTGCGGGCCTTCCCAGCTGGATTGATTTACCGTGGAGGTTGAAGTTGGAGCTGAGCTCTGACGCAGTTTGACCTCATACCTTCCACTGCAACAGGGTCAAGATTGCCAGGAAAAGTTGGTGGACGTGCATGGACGCGACCGGTAAGAGGAGGGAGATAGATGTCGGTCGAATCGCCGTCCTGGCCCAGGGCAATCGGGATACATGCCGTGCCCTGCCCTGCTATTGACCCATGTCAAGCTACCGTTCATGATACTACTGCAGAAGAAGCAAAGCTTCGTTGTTCATTGCAACCCTCAAGCTTCGAGTAGTCAGAACCCATTGCTAAGGCCGCCAAGGGTCATGTTTGGAAGACAAAAATTCGCGACTACCTTAGCAAGGGAGAGAGGCCTCATTTGATACCACAACGGTTAGCAAGCCGCATGGCTGCAATTCTGCTTGCTTGGCCTGCTACGGGAAGTAAAAAGTCAGGCGCTTCCATCAATCTACTGCTGCTGGTCGGTTTAGCTCTACGTCGTTGGCGGTGGGCTGTGCGACAGCACATCTACCTAAGAAGAGGCAGCCGGAAGTCGGCAGTCGGCCCAGACAGTGACGAAAGCCCACGACAAGAGCCGTGTTCGCGGGAAGCTGCCGCCTTGCCTTGGAGGGGAAGTCGCTGTTGGAATCAAGGAAAAGAACGGCTAGTTGGCAAGGCCAGGGCCCAGGGTAGGTACGTGGCTATCGCAGAATCGCGAAGACATGAGGTCAACAGATCGGGCCTCCAGCTGACATGATTGGCCAATGCCCCTGTCGTGGTGCCGTAGCGCCCCACACATTGTTCCTCCCTTCTGATTGGGTGTAACTTGCCAAAAGGGAAAGGCAGGTGCCAGGGAGGGGAGTGACAGGGATCCACGGCGACGACAAGGTGCAGGGACATTGCTGGGGAATCGAAAAGCCAATTCCCACATTCCACCTTCACCCGCCCAGAGACGTCTTATCGATTCAATGCGTCATTTGTTACCTACTTACTACCTACCTAGGTGAGCCGAATCGTCTGACCTCAAGACTCGTCACTCGACGTTTACGACCGCCATCCAAGCTTCGGATGGCATGTCGGCGGCGTGCAACGAGGAGCCAGATTTGACGTAGCTCCAACTCTCACTGTCGGTAAGTCCGCCAGGTCCCGCCCCTCCAACGCCACACATCCCCCAACGTTGCGCTCCCGCCCTGGTCGACCCAGGGGTTACGGAGTAGTATTGACGCCAAGAGCTTCGCTGGTGCGTGTGTCCACCCTCAGCTTGCCAAGGGGCTGTCCCGCTAGCTACCTAGAACGACGTCGACGAGACGAGCTTTCCTCAAATTCGACACCCGAGCCGCTGAGATCCCGGCAAACGGAACGAGCAATCTCTGACTTGTCCAATCGATGGCGACCGCCCAAGTTGAAGAGACACCGCCTGGTCGAGATCAAAGATTGCACCGACTGATCGTTGTTAATCTTCTTTAGAGTAACGAAGATGATGATTTTTCTTCTGGCGGTCAAGTCGACGGTATCAATCAAACGAGGTGGGCCACCGGATATGACTGTTGCGAACCTTCGCCTGGTTTTCGCACATCACAATCAGGCATACCGCGATCAGGTCCAAGGAGACGAGCCCGGCATATCCGCCTTAGACACGTCTCTGTGGCGCTATTGACCCTCCGGCCGTTTCTCGAGCCGCAAAGGGAAGATCTGACGCGGTGAAAAGTGCGACTTTCAATAGCTAGACAATCGGCGCCGTGTCGTCGCGACTCACCTGACGATCTGGACGACACCAGCCACCCGCACAGCCGTGCTGTCACCACCGCTCAGACGCCGATCGCCCCGGAACACTTTATTTCGATCTTTTTGTCTTTTTTTCGTCGATCTGGCCATCGAAGCAGCGCAAAAGGTCTCCCAAGGCCCCTGACACCGGGACGGCCTCTCTGCTGCAAGCGAATAGTTCGCGAATCGCGGAGAACGTGTCATCCCTGCCAGCCAGCTCACCGAACCACTTACAACCCATGCGCTGATCGCTGCGTCTGCCCCCAAATCACCCGCCTCTCGAAACACACACCATCCGTGCCCTTCCATCCAAACACCCTTCTCGAAAGCCTCCTCTCATCACACCTGGAGGCAACCAGCCGGCTCCCCTTTTTGTGTCATCTAGAAAGGTGCAACGATTGTGTTGTCGGTCCTGTCGCACATCGAACGCGAGCAACCGAGGGGATTGTGAAACGAACAAGAAATGAGAGCGCCACAGCACGCCACGAGCGTTGGAGCAGGAGTCCAGAATATACGGGCCTGGAATGATTGGAACGGGTAGTAAACCCTTGAAGTCCGGGGAGTTGCAGCGAGATGGGGAAGGTCGAGGGCGGAACGGATGTGGACAAGCGACCAGGAACTACCGAGACCCTACAGAGTACTTCACGTACCATCCTCTCACTTCCCAGAGCACGATGGGCTGAGGACACTGCTGACATTTGAGATGGCTGGCACATTGGTGTATCACTCAGTCATTTCCACGGAACCTCGGAAATCACCCCAAACCAATCTCACGTCGTAGATCCCACAGCAATCAGCGGCGGGAGGCAGCTCGTCCAGTGAACGTAACAGCGGTAATTTGACATGACGATCCCTTCATCCGTCGTTCTCTCCAAGAGTTGGACGGGATAATTAAGACGACTGCCGGCCACCGCCAGGGCCGACGGGCCTCGACCTGGCCGAGACCCGTGGGCCTGCAGCATGCGTGTACTTGTGCAGCTGAGCTCAAATCCAGCCGGTCTGGACGTCAACCTAGGTGTGTACGGACGACGACTTGTCGCCGCCAGAAACTCGCACAAACCCGACTTGTGGTGATGCTTACGTACGTTGCCAACTTTTCTGTCTCGGAGGCCTCTGGTGTCGAGCTGCAGTCATGTCAATCATGGCCACGTGTGCGATTGTTCGTCACAAAATAGAAATGTTCATAGACCAAATCGATTACGTCTACTGTAAAAAAGACTTGATACCGACCCAGGTTTTCATCCCAACGCCACGAGACTGCGAAACGCAGAACACCCAGTTCGGGAGTCTAAGAGCCTCAACCAAACCGTCCCAAACAAGATAACCAATACAGAGGGGATGTCCATCACGAAAGCCACCCAGGCAACTATTATCAACGCAGTCCCAATACCAAAATGCCGCAAACCCATGTATATGCCATCAACGTGTCATCAGCCGTCAAATCAATCATGTCTACCGCTTTCATGCTCTCTCTCTAACCGCTGCACATGACGCAAGACTCGGGGTTCTCAATGCTGCCTGGGAGGATGTTAGGATTTGCTTCAAGTGACGGAAATAGGTAGTGAAGACTTACAAGCAAGGACAGCCTCAGAGTAGATGTCCATCTCACGCTCCTTGCTCTCCTCAGCCTTGTCCTCCGCATCGGGAGTCTTGCTGCCGGGGGTCTGCAGCTCCTCGATCTTGAGCTTGTCTGCCGGCTCCATGGGCAGGGCACGGGGGCTGTCGCCCTCTTGCACATCAGCCTTCATGGGCTTCTCCACGGGAGCCGAAATGGGAGGAGGGGTGACGCTGGGAGTGGGAATGCCGTTGTCTTGGGTGGCGCCTTCCCTCTTGGTCGCGTACATGGGCCTAGGAACAGACGTGACAGGGGAAGAGAAGTGGCCCGGAGGAGGGGCACGCTTCTTGCTGAGGACCCGGCTGCTGATGTTGGCATCGGCAACCTTGAGTGCCTCCTGATCGACGGTGAACTGAATGGGCGCAGCAGCAGCCTGCGTACGGAGGTAGTACATGCCCGTCTTGAGACCAAGCTTCCAGCCAGCGAAGTGCATGCTGGTGATCTTGCCCATGGTCGGGTCCTTCATGTGAATGTTGAGCGACTGGGACTGATCGATGAAGGCACCACGGTCGGCGGCCATCTGCACAACGGTGCGCTGGGAAATTTCCCAGACGGTCTTGTACAGAGCCTTGACCTCGGCGGGGATGTTGGGGATGTTCTGGATGGAACCGTTCTCGGCGATGATACGGTTCTTCATGGCATCGGACCACAGGCCCATCTCGACGAGGTCCTTGAGAAGCCACGGGTTGACAACCTGGAATTCACCAGCAAGGACACGGCGCTGGTAGATGTTGGAGGTGTAAGGCTCGAAGCACTCATTGTTACCCAGAATCTGCGAGGTACTGGCAGTAGGCATGGGAGCGACGAGCAGACTGTTGCGAACACCGTGCTGCTTGATCTGCTCCTTAAGGGCGTCCCAATCCCACATGTCGGTGGGCTTGACGTTCCACATGTCGTACTGAAGAACACCCTGAGAAACAGGAGAACCCTCGTAGGTAGAGTAGGGACCCTCCTCCCTGGCCAGCTGGCACGACATGGTGAGAGCGGCGTGGTAGATGGTCTCGAAGATCTTCTTGTTGAGGTCACGAGCCTCAGGGGACTCGAAAGGCATGCGCAGAGCCAAGAAAGCATCGGCGAGACCCTGAACACCGAGACCAATGGGACGGTGACGCAGGTTGCTGTTTTCAGCCTCCTTAACAGGGTAGTGGTTGACATCGATGATTCTGTTCAGGTTGCGGACAACGACCTGAGTTACCTCGTGCAGCCTTTGGAAGTCGTAGACACCCTCGCTGTAGTTGACGAAGGCGGGCAGGGCAAGGGAGGCCAAGTTGCAGACAGCGACTTCATCGGGTGCAGAGTACTCAATGATCTCAGTGCACAGGTTGGAGCTGCGAATGGTACCGAGGTTCTTCTGGTTGCTCTTGCGGTTGGCGTGGTCCTTGTAGAGCATGAAGGGGTTGCCGGTCTCGGTCTGGGCCTCGAGAATGGCATACCAGAGCTTCTGGGCCTTCATAGTCTTGCGACCCTTGCCCTCACGCTCGTACTTCTCGTACAGGGCCTCGAACTCCTCGCCGTAGCAGTCAGCAAGACCGGGGCACTCGTTGGGGCACATGAGAGTCCAGTCGCCGTTCTTCTCGACTCTCTTCATGAAGAGATCGGGGATCCAGAGAGCGAGGAAGAGATCACGGGCACGGACTTCCTCCTTGCCGTGGTTCTTGCGGAGGTCCAAGAACTCAAAGACGTCAGCGTGCCAGGGCTCGAGGTAGATGGCGAAAGCACCGGGGCGCTTGTTGCCTCCCTGGTCGACATAGCGAGCAGTGTTGTTGAAGACACGGAGCATGGGGACGACACCGTTGGAAGTGCCGTTGGTGCCAGCAATGTAGGAGCCCGTGGCACGGATGCGGTGGACGTTGAGACCAATACCACCAGCCATCTTGGAGATCATGGCGCAAGTCTTGAGGGTGTCGTAGATACCCTCGATAGAGTCCTCCTTCATGTCGACGAGGAAGCAAGAGGAAAGCTGAGCCTGAGGGGTACCGGCGTTGAAAAGAGTGGGAGAGGCGTGGGTGAAAGACTTGCTTGACATCAAGTTGTAGGTCTCGATGACGCGCTCAACGTTGTCGCCCCAGATGCCAACAGCGACACGCATGATCATGTGTTGCGGTCTCTCGGCAATCTTGCCATCAAGCTTGAGCAGGTATGATCTCTCCAAGGTCTTGAAGCCGAAGTATTGGTAGTTGAAGTCGCGGTCGTAGACAATGGCAGAGTCAAGCTCCTCCTTGTGCCTCATGACGCAGTCGTATGTTTCCTTGGCAATCATGGGAGACAGCTTGCCGTTCTTGGGGTTGACGTAGTGGTAGAGGTCGCTGACGACTGAAGACCACTGCTTCTTGGTCTGCTTGTGGAGGTTGGACACTGCGATGCGGGCAGCGAGGATAGCGTAGTCGGGGTGGGTGACGGTCATGTAAGCGGCAGTCTCAGCGGCCTGTTCGCGAGAAGATTAGCAATTGACTTGTTACCTGGACGGACAGAAGATCGAGGCTTACCAAGTCGTCAAGCTGAACAGTGGTGACACCGCCGTAGACACCGGAGATGACCTTCTGAGTGATTGCAACGGGGTCGACGTGCTCCATGTCGAGGCCATAGCATAGCCTGGACACTCTGGCGGTGATCTTGTCGAACTGGACGCGCTCCTGGCGCCCGTCTACGTTCAATTAGCACCGGAAGACACAAAGCAACGCGTCGGGACTCGACATACCGCGCTTTCTCACGAACATGGTGCCTGGGTTGCGGTTGTGAGATGGGGAGAGGAGGGGTAGTTGGATTGGTTGGGGCCGCGGAGGCGTAGGCAACCCAGAAGGACGAAGACGAAGTGAATGCAGAAGAAGGGGGTATCAAGAGCACCAAGAATTACAAAAAGTCTGGTGGGAAAATTGGCAGAAAGTTGGTGGTGTTTGGGTTGCGGGAAAGGGAAGAGAAAGCAAAGAGTGCCAGGAGATGCTGCAGATACTTATGGCCCGGGTTCGCGTGGAAACGCGACGCCAGAATTTAGCGCGACTGGACAGGGGGGCACGTCAAGGCATCAATAACAGATTGGCTGGGAAAAAGGTCGAAAGGGCCTCGTTAGTCAGGCATCTCCGCCCGTGCCCCTCGGTTCGCGGTCGCATCCCCGAGCCAACACTGCCAGGAACACTGAATTGCTGGCTCAGTGGTGAACACTTGACTAATCCCGCGACAGGCTTGGAAATCATCGCTGACGATGCAACAAACTCCACTGTGGATGTTTGTGTGTGCCAGACACGGGTTGCCGTTTGCAACGGGATGACTTCAATTAAATGTCTTGCCTTACCTTGAATAGAATGTGTCCAGACCGAACGTTCATGATTTTTTTTTGGTTTTTTTGGTCTTGGAAAGGAAACGCGTCGCAAAGCCCCCCCGCCTCTTATGACGCGATGCTTCTTTAATTGATTTTTCTGCGGCCACTTTACGCGTGGGACATCTCGCGGGGGTGGATGCTGCATCACGCTCTCACGTGATCGATGAGGCCAAATAGATTATGAGTCTTCAACGTTTGGCCTACTCAAATCCCACGGCGACGTCAGGTCTGTATAAATTGGCATCGTTTGCCTTGTCTGTCAATTACTTTTGAAACGAGAATCATCGCCTGCTGCTAATTGCCCATGAGGCTCCGCCACTCTTCTTTTCCAAGAACGCTTCCAAAAGCCTGGATCTCACCCCTGCACCAACGAGTCTTTCTCCAGCCTCTCGCAATGACAACCATGGCGGCCGCTGCAGAGGCGCCCAAGTCGGCTTATCAGCCCCGGTATATCGATGTGCGTGTCTATCACCGAGCGTGGTGTACTTTCGGCTCGTTGACCTGTCCGACCTAGTAGATCGGCATCAATTTGGCTGATCCCATCTTCCGAGGCCTGCATCATGGAAAGAGACGGCATCCTGATGACTTGGAAGGCGTCATCAACAGGGCCAAGGAAGTCGGCTGCTCCAAGTTGATCGTGACCGGGTCCGACTTCACCAGCTCGAGGGATGCCCTCGACATTGCCAAGCAATACCGTGAGTGATTTGGCATTGAAAGCCATCTTCAGCAACGTTGACATAAGCAGCTGGCACCGTTTACACAACTGTTGGAATCCACCCATGCAGCAGTGCGATCTTCAGTAGCTCGGACGAGGCCGCCGAGGGCGTGCACACCGACCCCGACCCGTCCCAACCTATTCCCGAGCACCATCAGCCGGACCCCACCAAGACGGAGGCCATCATCTCCGAGCTCCGAGATCTCATCAAGGAGACGACCACCGCTTCCCAGGCCGGTCTCGTCGCCTTTGGCGAGTTCGGTCTGGATTATGACCGTCTGCACTACTGCTCCAGGACCGTCCAGCTCCACTCTTTTGCAGCGCAGCTCGATCTCGTTGTCAACACCAAGCCTCAGCTACCCCTATTCTTGCACTCAAGAGCCGCCCATGATGACTTTGTGCGTCTGCTGAAGGAGACGTTTGGCGACAAGCTGGAGAAACTAGAGAAGGGTGGCGTCGTTCACAGCTTCACCGGCACCATCGAAGAAGCCAGGGAGCTTATGGATCTGGGGCTGTACATTGGTATCAATGGCTGCAGTTTCAAGACCGAGGAGAACTGCGAAGTCGTGAAGCAGATTGCCTTGGACAGAATGATGCTCGAGACCGACGGCCCTTGGTGCGAGATCCGCCCGAGTCACTTCGGTTACAAGTACTTGATCGAGAAGAAGCCCGAGGTTAACGGCACCGACGGCGCCGCAACCCCGGAGGCTGCGAAGCCCCAAGGCAAGAAGAAGAACCAGAAAAAGGAGCCAGATGTGCCGGAGCGCTTCAAAGTCGTCAAGAAAGAGAAGTGGGAGGAGGGTGCCATGATCAAGGGCCGCAATGAGCCATGCATGATCGAGCGAGTTGCCAAGGCCGTGGCTGGTATCAAGGGGGTTGAAGTCGAGGAAGTTTGCGAGGCAGCATGGAGAAACACGGTGAAGGTTTTTAGCGTAGACCAATAGACAGACGTCCAACAAACACTTTAGAGGGTATCAAGCCAAACAATGCCACCGAACCATGCATGCCTGATACAACAGAGCTGCCACGCATCGCCAGATGCTTCATGCAATGAAAAATCTTTTCCCGCTTTAGATCCCAGATCCTTTGTGTCCCCTAACCCGGCCGTGCCTCACAGCCCCAACGGTGACGCCCTCTTCCCCTGTCAGCCATCCTGGCATTCGCTCTGCGTCTATAATGCCGTTTTCCACCAATTGCCGAATGCCTGCGAAAACATGCGATCCGTGGAGTACCAGCTTCACGTTGGGTGTCCATTTTGACGTGCGGTCTTCTCGATCCTCCTCCAAATCTTCCCCGTCTTCGCCCAAGCCAGGTCGAGCTTGACGGGGAAACGGGTCTTCGATAGTTATATCCACCCGCTCAACACCGAATCCGTCATCTGGTTTGGCGCTATCTCCGAATCTTGCCCTTGCACCAAGTCGTGCCCTTTTTGAAAATTTCTCCGTACTGTCAGGGGTAGCGGCCTTTCTCTTTGAGCCAGTGCTTCTGCTTAGGCTTGAATCGTCAGATGACTCTTCAGATAGCGGAGGAGTAGGCAGAACCGTGTCGAGAGGCGACTCGTTTCTTCTCTTGTCGGCGTAAATGTCCCAGCCGCCACCGGCCGCATTCGTTCTGCCAGCACCTTTTGTGTGCAGCAACGCTAACAGGTTTTTGGTCTGCAGGTTTGTGGGTTTTAGAGTGAATCTTTCTCGCGGCCGGGAAAGCGCCATTGGTATGCCTTCAGCGACGAGATTACGAAAGCTCTTGGTTTCTGCTGCGCCCAGTGACCCGATAGTCTGCGACTTTGACAGGTAGATATAGGGCGAAGAGTGAGGAAACGCGACGAAGAGCGTCCGCGAGCTGTCAACACGGGAGTCTGAGGATGGACCATTGCTCGGTTGGGCTATGCTCGTGATATACGGGGACTCGACGATGAATATGCGCAAGATGGTCAGATGAAGGTCCTGCGGTTGATGGATCTGATAATAAGCCTTGACATCCGGTAGGACGTGGGATTGTAGATTGTCGATGAAGGTTGACGGATGAAAGCGAGGCAGCTTGAACGACTCTTTGTCGACCTGGAGGGGTTGTAACTCATCATCCACGGACGTTGCCTCCATCAAGGGAAGGATTTGGTAGCCCGTCCAGTGTTGAGATGTCGGGTTGTCTTGGAGATACTGGAAGTCTGCCAGGGCCAGCTGATATAGGGTCAGGCCACGTTGCCAGTCTCCTTCCGTAATACGTTCAAAAACCTCTCTCTTGGAACCTTTCCTGTACTGCAAGTCCCCGTAGATAGACCGCAATTCTTCCAATGACTCGGCTGCCTGGTAGGATGGATCACCATCGGCGTCGTCACCCAGCAGCGGCTCACAAAGTTGAACATTGACATCGCTGATCCACTCCAACGCCAAGCTAAGGAGTGACGAGCGAGACAAACGATTGAGAGATTTCTGTACCGCGACACTGGCCGGGGGAAGACGAAGCTGTGGCCGGAGGCGCCCTTTGCTTGGGATCGAGAAACGCGCCATGTCTGTCAAAACATGGCAGCCGGAGAGGAAAGGCCGCGCGAACCGTAGAAGAGGTGCTCCTTGATGAAGGATATCGTGCACAGTAATTATCGCCCGTAATGTTTTGGGAAATATTTCTGGCCGAAGGTCGTCAAGGAGTTCTGTAATTGAGGCTGAAGTCTGTGAAGACGCGCTCTATTGTCGTTTGCGGGTTGTGTGGACGCGTCGTGATGCAGTGCACGGGCAACATGGGTTCATTCTTCGGCTGCGCTAACCGTCTCGACGCAAGAGACAACGGACCAACAGCGGAGTCGCACGGAGACAGGCATGGAAGCTGGGGCCTTCCGGGAATATTATGTAAGTTAAGGTTGTGCCTGCCCACACGCCGCCCGCGGAAGACGTGGAGGCCGGGAAGCTGACAGGATCCGAGGATTAGGTAAGGCCCTGCCCGCAGGCCACAGGCGTGTATGGGTGCCCGATCCGACTTGACCGTGCACCAGGAGATCACTGTAGAATGTTGGCCGGCGGCGAGCACCTCACAATCATTTACGGCGGTACACGGCACACGGGATTCCACACAACGAAGCTAGGCGGGTAGGCGGGGGCTGCAAGTTGACAAGACGGGACGGAGAGGAGAGGAGAGGAAAGGACAAGGCAGGCCACAGGGGCGCGACGGCGATTGGCAATGAGACGGCCGGCCCTAGGAGCGGTAGCTGAGCGTGGCAGTTGCAGGTTGCAGGTTGCAGCTCGCAGGGCAGTCTGTGAGGCACAGTCGGGCCTACTTACCGAACAAGGGCGTGTTACCGCCGTGCTGACAGAAAAAGCGCGGTTGGCGTTCCGAGCGTCGGAGAGCTGCTTAGAAATTCAGGGTCCTTTCACGAGACGATTCCGACGATTGCCCAGACTCGTGCTGCAAGGTTGCCGCCAGAAGGACGAGGCCAGACCTAAACGAGATCTATCGAGTCATGGCTCCCGGAAATTCATCGTCGAAACGAGGCTTGTTATTGTAACAACACAGAGGTTGGTTGGTCACCGTCGGTGTCGCTATCCGTACCCGCCATTCTCCTGTGAACCGAAAGTGAAGGTAAGCCAGCCAGCCAGCCGGGTTGGAACTATCTTGTTGGGTACCTAAGGTACGCTAGACGTGGAAGGCCTTTTCCATGGGAGAACCAACAGCCGCCAGCCAGCCACGACGTAATAATTGCGCACAGAAGCCAAAGCTTAGCTGGTGGAATTGAATTGAATTATTAATCCTCACCTGCAATTTTCATCCCAAGTGGCATGTTCTTCCCTCAAAGGGCGCACCTTGTCTATTCGAGTGTCAAACAAAGTTTCGTGTGGTCGAAATCCTCTTCCGTGTCTCGTTTTTTTCCGTCAAAAACTCTTCACTTCAGAAGCTCAGCAAACATGAGAAATGGCGCAGGATGACGCTCTGCTTGTCGATCACCAAAAGATGCGAATGAAAGACGTCAATTGCACGCAGCCCCGAAATCAAGGGATGGTCAGGCCAGAAATGCGCAATTACCGCGGGGGACCACAGCATTGTGTTGTAGTTGATTCGCCAGCCGTCTTCAATGACGGATTGATGAAAGAGGGGCTCAAAATCGAGGGTTAAATGGTCCGGACCCTGCCTGCCAACCTGTGAGCACAAGGGCCAGCGGAAGAAGAGGGTGCCCGGAAAGGACGCTGGTTACGGGAGTACAGAGATCTCACTGCCACGTCGCTTGCCCTTGGCCGTATCGTCATTGCCGGAAGTTGTAGAAGCTTAGCACACGTCGATGGTGGTATTTCATCAAATCATTGGCCGTGCTGGTGTGCTGGATTCCAACGCCGTTCATCGGCCAGTGGGGGGCTCATCTGGCCACCGCGCGGTAACGAATACCTTCAGACATGCCCAACTTCCGCCATGTCGACGGTACTCTGCACAAGAGAGCCCTGCCACCTGGGTGGACATGCGTCGTGTGCGTGGGTGCTGGTGGGTGCATGTTCCAGGCCTAACGCTGTAGATGAAGATACGTATCGCTTTTTGTCCCGGTAAGTATCCTCGCGATTGGATTCAAGCAGGCACACCAGGTGCGCGTGGGGTGGCCAGGAGCCGTGGCTTGTTAGGTAGGGGCCCCTCCCAGGGACGCTGAAAGTCGCGCTGTCGGGTAAAGATGTTGACTAATACTATCCACTCGGCCTGTGTCCGCAACCTGGGCCTCCGAACAAAGGCTTCATTCTCGCCCATTTTCGACTCCTCTTCCCCCATCTCATCCACTTCACCCTGAACTACACAGCACTCACAATTCTAGCCAGCAAACAGAGACAACCTTCTCTGTCACGACACTCGGTCAGCCGCGTTGCCAAACATTCGACTCTTTTTCAGAAAAAGGACGACGTCTCGTCAGCCGTCGTCTCACGATCGCACACGACTGCCCCTCATCGAGTGCGCAGTTGCAGTGCCGAAAAGTTGGAATTCGAACCCGCCGGCATTTTCCCGCATTGGTTGGTCCGCGCGGTGCCTAGCACTTTAATATTGCTTGGGGGCCCAGCATCCAAAAACAGCCCACTGCCCCTCCAAACGCCATCGCCGCCGTCCCTGACTTGAGGGCCCAACTTCTTGCAACCACAAAACAACTCGACGTCCTCGACCTGGACCCGACTTCGACGGAGCCTCTTCGCTCTCCTATCATCTCGCAGACTTGACCGACGATACCGATCTCGCCTCTACGCGAGCCGTCCCGGCCTTCGATATGTCGCCCTACACCAGCACCGGCGGTGGGCGAGCCCCCAATGTCTCTCAGTACCTGAGAGACCTCAACATCGTCAAGGAACCCAGCGCCGAGGAGCAGTTTACTTTTGAGGAGGACCTTGCCGCTTTCACCAACACCCAATTCTTCGACTTCGAAACCGGCCAGCAGCAAGACTACCAGGCAGCACCCGCGAAGCCCGAGACCGAGACCCAGGCCCCGTCCAGCGCCGTCACTGAAGACCTGACTTCTCCCCTGGCCGAGTTTGGCGACTTTACTTCCATTGCAGGTAAGACGAGAATTTTCGGCTCTTGTCTTTTGCGCCGTGTCACGATGAGGGCAATGTCCATGCCTGCTCGAATTTTCACTGTTTTCGCCCCCGGCAGATGTCTTTGATCTTCCTCCAGAGCATCTTGTGTTCAATATCACCGATTATTCGATTCTGTTTATTGGCCAGGTTACACCACAAGGCCGGCCAAGTGGCCGCGGCTCTCTTCAACCGTGCTTTCGGGAAAACGGCGGTAGGTTGAGGGAGTGGTGATTCACGATTTCGCATGAGTCAAGCGGCTGTTGCGTGAACTCTAACCGTCCGGTCTTCAACATCAACTCAACTTTCCTTCAGGGTCGCAGCCAAGCACATGCGATCGCCTTATCACCAGCCTTCGTTCTGTCGTTTCTACCCCACCCGGTTCATGCGTGGCCCATGTTTCATTCAGACGTCTTGATTGGGAGTTCTGGCTGCTTTTATGCAGGTTACCGGCCTGCGGTGTTGAGGGAGAGCCGCGACTCCAGATTGGAGCTTACAAATTGCCGGGGGATGGTGCAATAACCCGTGACTTGCCGTCATCGACCCTAGCAGGGGGGCATCGACCATCTGGGCAGCCGCCATCACGTACGGATAGAGCAAGTGCTCGCTGGCCATGGGCTTGTTGTTCCAACATTTAGACTCGCGGATGCTATTGTTTCTTTGAGAAGCGTTATCCGCCCGTCTTCCCCCTCATCCCGCCGCCTCGCCGACGCCACGATGCCAGGAACTGATAACCTGCCTTGAACATCTATCTGACCATGAACAATGACAGGCGACTTCAGCTTCCCCGATTTTACCAGCCACTACCCTGCTTCGGGTGTCCCGTCCTTCGCCGAAGGCCTGGGTAACCTCCAACCTCTTCAACCCAACCCGCAAACCAACTACGCGCCTCCGCCCGTGTCTCAACCGCAAAACCACCACTATGGCGCCCCTGCACCCCGCCCAGCCGAGAACAGGACTCCGGAGTCGTTGAACGGCAGCAGACTCGAGGAGCAGTCCCGCATCGCCGCTGAGGAGGACAAGCGCAGAAGAAACACGGCCGCCAGCGCCCGATTCCGTGTCAAGAAGAAGCAGCGCGAGCAGGCCCTCGAGAAGAGCGCCAAGGAGATGTCTGACAAGGTTTCCCAGCTCGAGGCGCGTATCAACCTGCTCGAGACCGAGAACCGTTGGCTCAAGAACCTCGTCATGGAGAAGAACGAGGGCAACGAAGACGTCGCCACCATGTTGAAGGAGTTTCAGAACAAGTCAAAGACGGTGACGGAAATCACGGCAAGCTCGGAGCCCGTCAAGGGCGAGAAGTAAAAGGGGGAAAAGGGATCTGGCCTACACTTCGAAGGCTTCACCCCGACCGACGCCTGTACGCGATGCGTTTCATGTTCAAGACTATGGGATTTTCTGGCACCGATGGAGTTCGATACCGTGGAGGGACGAGGAGACTATTGTGGGATAGCGGTCATGGCGGGAGGTAGAGAAAGGGGTGAAGAACGGGCGGATTTACTGAGCGACTTATGTGTTTTACTGACCGGCAACATGTGATGAATTTTATATATACCTCCATGAACTCATGATAAGGGTACGTGGTAGAGTATGCTACAGCAATGAATTATATGGATGGGCTTAATGACCCTCTACGCGATGGATTTTGAACATCACTACACCTACAAAGCTTCCCATGCACAAGTGACTCAGGTCCGATCACAACCGCTACACCCAACTTCGAAGGAATTGAGCCCGATGAACTGAAGTAAAGACAAGCTATGATAGCAAAGCCTTCACAGGCATCCCCTGACAAGTCAGTCTCCTCAATGTTAGCTTCGACCTCGCTCGCCATCGCCCCTGCTCCTGGGGACTCCGATGAGCTTCCCCATTCGCGAAAAAAGAGCAACTGAGCACACCAAAGCACCCGAGGCACCTGGCGTAGCACAGCAGCAGTACCCAGTTCTTGACCCATAAAGCTGAGGGAAAAAACCCAACCTCCGTCGCAGAGAACTCCGCTCGTGGACTAACCCGCCTTGCTCGCTGGGGAAAGTGGTGGGTTCGTAAGATGCAAATACACGACGTGGGATAGGACGAGAACGAGAGACAGGCCGACGGGTATGGGCACGGGTACGGGGGGGGAGACAGACTTGGGAAAGGACCGTCTTTCACAAGGGATTGGCGATGAGAATACAGAACACACACTACCAGACATGGGGTGGAAAACCCAGATGAATGGGGTCCCTCATTTCTCGTCGCTGATGCTCTCGGCCTTTCCCATCCTTCCTTGCTACTGTTGGCTAATGGATGGCTAGCTACTGCTGCTTGCCTTCGCCGTCGGCCCCATCCCTGAGGCTGGCGAGGCGAATCTGGTTGCGCCGGCCGAGGATCCTCAGCGTGTTCTCCCTCTCAATCTTGGTCATCTCGCCCCAGTTGCTGATCCGCGACATGGTGCCGTCCTGGTTGACGACCAGGGGCCCGAGGTGGTCCAGCTTGGTCGAGGCGCCGCCTCCCGGCTGGCCTCCCAGGTCGAGCGTGATGGTGTTGTTGCTGTTGCTGTTGCCTCCTCCCTCCGCGGAGTCGCCGCCAGCGGAAGACGAGGGCGCCTCGGGAAGCGGCGGCAGAGCCAAAGGCTGGCTGTGGGTAGAGTCGGAAGGAGAAAAAGCGTTGTCGTCGCCCGCGGGGGCGTTGGATGTCGCGTTTTCAGGGGCCGGTGACGTGCTTTCCGTGGGGTGGTGCTGGCGGTGGCTCTCCTCGGAAGGGATTTGCCTTTGTTGGTGGTGGTCGTCGTTTGCTGCTGCTCTTGTCGGCTCCGTCTTGGCCGCGCCGTCGGCCGCCGTTTGCCTCGTGGATGAGGACGATGGGAATGGCGACTGGGATGCCGATGATGTGCTCATCCTGTTGTTCAACGTGAAAGTCGTGATTGTGGTGGTGGTGGTGGTGGCGTTGACGGCGGTCAGCGCGGGTGAGAGTCTCGGGGATTGGCGGGTCAGGGTTTTCAGAGGCGCGTAAAAGCGTGGGATGATGCTGGCCGATAGTCTCATCTGGACTGTTGTCTCGTAATTTTTGTCTGGGTTATGAGTGGGATGTGGTTGGGGGTTGATGGTCGTTTGTGAAGTAGTTTCTGTGTTGTGACGAAGTGGGGCCGCGGTGGTAGGAAGGAAAGGAAAGGAAATTTCGACTCACTTCCCGTTTCTCCCCCTCTTGCAACCAACTCAGCGGGCATCTGAGGAGACCGGGCAAACGATTATTTGTCACATTTCCCCCACGCGCAGTACGATGTTATGAGCTGATTGTCACTGTTCATTATGAGGGATCTTTTTTGAATTTGATGCTATTCTATCCTGATACGGATGATACTCTCCGTGCAACCATCCATCGCATGACTGGAAGTGTGAGTTGCCTATGCGATACCTCTAAATCTAGGAAGTGATCCGGAACGCCTTGGGTATACCAGGTTTCGCATCCTGTATCTAATCTCAAGAAGCCGTTTCTATCCGCCGTTGCTAACGCCATTGATGCCTGAATTGACCAACAAAAGGACAAAAGAAGAAAAGAGCGATGCAAGTGCCCGTCTTCAGCGACGACCCTCGCCACTCCGGCGACGGTCAAGACGTTTGACCACCGCACCAAGGACGACTTTGAGGATGCTATCTGCGGTGAGCACACCCTTGACACTGTTCTTCCAGGTGACAGTATCGACCATATCCCGAAGATCTCCATCACCAAGATCATCGTCAAGCTCGCGCAGAGCCTCGCGGGCACCGGGCTCGTTGCCGACCTGGAAGAATTGGATACCAATCTGATGGAGGGGGGCGTCGAGCTTGTCGAGCTTCTTGGCGGCGGTGATGATGGTGGACTCGACGTCGTCAGAAGGGGCACCATCTGTGACGACAATGATGTTGACAGGCTTGACGCTCTCGATATCGTGCTTCTTCTTATCCAGCAGTTGCAGGTAGGGCTTGAGGATCGCATGCAGGCGCTGACCGGTAGGAGTAGCCCCACGAGGACGAACTGATGTGAAGATATCCTCGACCGTTTCGCTGCGCTTGATGCCGTAGTAGCCGCCAGAGGCCTTGCCCTCTGTGGCTCTTCCGCTGCTCTGGTGGTTGAGGAAGTATAGATCGACACCATCGGCGTCGTGGCTGGTGCAGATGGGAGTTATGGCACGGAGAACACCCTGGACCTCGGGCCACGAGCGGCCGGACATGGAGCCCGAATCGTCGATCACGAAGATGGTATCGAAGGAAGACAGAAAGGCATAGGGGTCCTCGGGAGTCGAGACACTGATACCCGAAATGGACATGACAGAGCTTGCGTGGGATGGCGCAGGCGACGCACTCCTAACCGGACCGCCATTGGGTACCAGCAAGTCGGGTCCCGACGTCGCGGGGGCTGAGACCGAATAAGCCGGGGGAGGCTGATTGGGATCTATTCGCTGGTCAGAGACTGTTGGTTCCTTGGCGACTGAGATCGCGGAATGCGGATCACACTTACTGTCGGCAGCTAACCGCTCTCGGGTGAAGGGGTTGTTGCTGGCGGACATGGTTTCGGGCTTAGTGGGCTTTTGAGAGGAAGAGGGTGGTTTGCGGCTCAGCCTATCCTTGACGGTGCCGAAGATGGATTTGCGCATTTTGGGTTGATATGACGAATCGTCAAAGTCTGAGATGTAAGGCATGTTGAAGGTGTTGACTGTCAGGGACAGTGAATTGATATAGAGGCAAGTGGGGGGCAAAGTTCGGGGTGGGCGGTTCCTTCCTCAAAGAAAGTTTGTTGTGTACAAGACCTGAACAAACTCTGACTGTTTCCCGTCTCTCAGGGTATTGCGCAGGCAAGGAGGCGTTTGCAGGGTTATTCCGTTGATTCTACTCAGAATGGAGTTGAGTCTTTGTGGCTTGTTGTTTGAGATCTATCCACGAGTGTCGTGTTGGGTCCTAGATCAAGAACTCTTCTTATATGGACAGCTTAGTCTTGATGCCTGCTCGAAATCACCGAGTATAGATCGATACGCCTCTTTGTGAGCCTATGGCGATGAGTTGAAATCGAAATACCGCCAAATCGATAAAGCGTTCCATGGCGTTTTCACGAAGCGTTTGCGGCTTAAGGTTTGAATGGAATAGGTACCTATTGTGGCTGAGCTGTTTAAGGGGTCCGGGCTCTGACTGCGATCGCGGCTATGAAGTCAATGTTGGTCACGCTGTGGTTCGCCCCGGCGCAGCCACCTCTCATTGGGTCATAGGTTCACACTGCCACCCCAGGCAGACTTGCAACGCCTCAGTACCCCGCCAGGGTCGCCATTGCTCAGGTTTGCCTTACGCCAGGCGGGACCCTTGACCGATGTTGATCAAAGTTCTTTGCCGTCAGTTCGGCGTGATCAGAGATTGAACGTTATCCAGGTCGTTTGACCTGCAAGCCTTTTGAACATCTAAAATTTGATGAGATGGGAATCGACGAGCATCATATGGATGGTCTCCAAGCGAGCTACAGGCGTCATTACCTAAGCAGCCAGAGTGCGGAGATGGAATCTCATGTCGTTCCTTGTGCGGGGAGTTTGGTCGCGGGGGAAGAGACGATGGCGAGAAAACTCGACATCTGGAAAGAATGAATCTCAGGTCGATGGCTGGGAGACCGGGTTCTTATACTCTTCCTTCCTTGCCCTCTTACGCAACGCGATCTAAGCCTCGGGCGGTCGCAACGTTGACGAGCTGAAAACCTGGAACTCACGATTGGAGATGCGACCTCCTAACCTTTTCTTAGCTAAGCACTCGGCCAGCCAAGCAAAAGTCTCTCTGATTGGTTGGATGAAGCCCTGTCCCATTTTCCCCCACGCCGTTCACAAGCAGCATCGTTAGACGAGCATTGCTTTTCCGAGTTATTAGTGACTCTTGCCCGCGCCATGTTCATTTTGAAATGTTTGCAATAAAACCTACTTACTCATCTTGACGAATACGCCAGGTCATGGATGTCAAAACCATACGCGATCTTGTCAGCCCGGGAAGTAACGATTTTGTTGAATCGGGTTCGCCGACCCACGACGAGAACCCAAGCGCCCTGAATGTTCCGGCGCCGGTCCCGCATCGTCCGGACTAAGCTGCCGTGGGACGCTGCGATTGGATTAGCGAACTGAACAGTCCAGATCCGCCTGCGCAACATGCACCAGGGGGAACTCGAGGGCCTTACACAGTACAATCATCGAGATGCATCGCCCCGTATTCATGAGGACTGTCTTCCCCAGGAGGTCGCACTCTGTCCGGGACGAGCGATACTGAACCCCACTGATTGGGCACAAACGGTAACGGGGAACCAGTGGACGGGGCAGGCCGTGATGCGGAGATCCGCTATGGAGACGAAACTGACTCTGGACACCGCTTTTTACGTACTGGTGTCTTTTCGCGGCGCCGAATCGGAAGCCGGAGACAAGTGCGACAGAAGAGATTGTGGAGGAGGAAACAAACAGTGAACAGAAAAGAAAGTCGTGTGTTGTGTTGCGTCGCGTCGTTCCATGCCAGCGTTGCGGCCCTACGAGAACAGAGACACCAAAGTTGAAACCGCCACTGCTCATCCGGCGCGCTGCTCCCGCTCACCGAGTCCAAGATCAGCTCTGCAAAGCAATTCTCGTCGTCAGCCCGGAAGTCATTGGCTCAAGAAGCGGAAAACACGGCACGGGACCGGCGCACATAGAGCGGAAACACAGGCACCAATTGTGCTGTTGTCGGTTGGCAGTCTGTGGCAGTCCTTGGAAATATCTGGTCGGTGACCTTCCGTCAACTTCGTCAAGTGACAGTCCCACGCCCATCTTCAACGTGGGAGATATTGGTTTTCAGCCTATCAGCGTCCCTCCCCATCAATCAAAACCCACAACTGGAAGAGCCTGCATGAGAGCTGCGTTCCTATCCTACAGGGATTCCCAAGCCAACATCAGGGCCTAAGTGCCGGTGAAGAGAGGAAGCCTTTCGCAGCTTCCCCGTATAAGACTGTTTGTGTGCCCCTCGTTGCTTCACCTTGAAAAGGTGGGCTTCCTGTTCTTTATCTGAGCTTTGCTTTGTTTATCTCTCCATCCCCAATTCACCTTCACTTACCTCCCGTCAACCTCATCCTTTTTTTTCTCAGTCGGGAAAACAGACGGGGCGACCAATTGTGCACCCAACCTAAACAAACCCACCTTCTGCCCTCACCTTATTTTTACCTGCAGCAGCCTCAACTCCAGGTTTTTCTCAACCTCACATCGTTGACACCCGACACACAAAGGCACCACTGCAGGCTGCCTACTGTCACCATGTTCAACCGCAAGTTCTCCATCAACCGGCACACCGGTGTGCCCAAGCCCAGACGCTTTAGTGTTGGCGAGGCTGGTGCCAACGGTAAGAAACATTTCGAGTTCTTTTTCCCAACTCCCCTCCACGGTTCTAGCTATTGCGACCTCACCGCCAAATCCGCCTCACTTTCAAAAGATTGAGCAGCAAAAAAAATAGGGGAAAAGCTTGTTGTCCAGCTGTGTGGTGTTGGTGCGGGGTAGGAGCTGAACTGCTGCTCTCAGCTCCAACGCCAATGTCTCCAGCAAAGCTGCCCCTCGTTCCCCACACTGCTCCAACTCGAACTCGATGTCATTCTTGGCACGTCCCCGATTGGCGTCCATGATAGCTTCAAAATCCCTTTCCAGAGCTGACAATTCCTCCAGAGGTCCAGTCCAAGACTCACAGACAATTCCGCAATGCCCACGAGGGCCACCAGCCCCACGCTGGTCTCGATGCCAGCCGTTCCTCCACCGGTGTCGTCTGGTGTACCGAACGCGCCGCCGAGTACGGTTTCCTCGAGGACCCCGATTCCTGGGCCAACCTGGGTCAGGGTGCCCCCGAAGTCGAGGATGATATCGCCGGTTGCTTCCCCCGTCCCACGACGATCGACATCTCCATGGCCGGTCGCGAGTACGGTCCCACGGCCGGTATCAAGCCTCTCCGTGAGGCCGTCGCCAACCTCTACAACGTCATGCATCGCGAGGGCAAGCAGAGCCAGTACACTTGGGAGAACGTTGCTATCGTTCCTGGTGGTCGCGCCGGTCTGATTCGTATTGCCGCCGTTCTCGGAAACTCATACCTCTCGTTCTTCTTGCCCGATTACACAGCTTACAACGAGATGTTGTCGCTTTTCAAGAACGTGCGTACCGTCGAACTCGAAGAGAGAGAGAGAAGCGTGGGACAGTTTCTGACATAAGATTCTAGTTCTCTGCCATTCCCGTCCCTCTGGCCGAGGAAGACGGCTACCACATCCACCCCGACCGCATTTCCGAGGAGATCTCCCGTGGTTCATCCGTCATCCTGACCTCCAACCCCCGCAACCCCACCGGCCGCGTTGTTGCCAACCCCGAGTTGGCCGAGATTCAGGACATCTGCCGTGGCCGCGCCACTTTCATCAGCGACGAGTTCTACTCCGGCTACAACTATACGAGCAACTGTGACGGCAGCACGATCTCCGCTGCTGAGAACGTGGAGGACGTCGACGAGGACGATGTCCTCATCATTGACGGCTTGACCAAGCGCTTCAGACTCCCCGGCTGGCGTATCGCTTGGATTCTTGGCCCCAAGGGTACGTTATCTCCCGTTTGACAAAAATTCGCGGCTCGCTAACATAATTCGCAGAGTACATCAAGGCGTAAGTGACGGACACCTTAGGTTTGCCAATGACTTACTAACACCTTCTCAGTATTGGCTCTTGCGGAAGTTACCTCGACGGTGGCGCCAACCACCCCTTCCAGGAGGCCGCTATCCCCATGCTCGACCCTACCCTCGTCAAGGAGGAGATGGTCTTCCTTCAGAAGCACTTCCGCGTAAGTCCGATGCTACAATGGGACATCTGGCAAATGCTAATGCCATAAACAGGACAAGCGTGACTACGTCGTTCGCAGACTGCGCGAGATGGGCTTCGTCATCAAATACGTGCCCGACTCTACCTTCTACCTCTGGCTGAACTTGGAGGGTCTCCCCGACGCCATCTCTGACGGCCTCAACTTCTTCCAGGCCTGCTTGGAGGAGAAGGTCATCGTCGTCCCCGGTATCTTCTTCGACCTGAACCCCTCCAGACGCCGCGACCTGTTTGACAGTCCCTGCCACCACTTCGTCCGCTTCTCGTACGGCCCCAGGATGGAGACCCTGAAGAACGGTCTCGACGGCATCGAGCGCGTTGTCAACAAGTAAGTCCTATGAGACCGTCCATCATTTTATCGCCCCTTTCTAACACCCTGCAGGTTCAAGAAGTCAAGCGCTTAGATTGGACAAGGTGTTCTGGGATAGAGAGGAATGGTTTTGGACTTGGTAATACGTTCGAGTCTGGATGTTCGACGCGGCGATGAATAGGCCGCGATTTCCTTTTTCTTTTTTGAGAAGCCTTACCGAACGAAGAGGGAGACATCGAGGCTGAGCGAAAAAGGCTTACGTGAGATGTGTACACACACGCGCGCTGACATATGTGTGCGCGAACCAATTGATTACCGTTGATTCCCATCTGCCTCACACTTCTAAGCCATGTCAACTGCGGCTCGTGGATCTGTCCCGGATGAATCAGCCACGATCTCAGGGACAAGTGTTGGAGTCGCATACCCCGTGCCCAGTCAGGATTTCCGATAGGATATAGAGCGACGTTCCTTACTGCGGTACACTTACAATGATTGACATCACGGCGAAATCGAGACGAGGCTTTTCAGATACTATGCGAATTTCATTCATTCTTGCTAATTCCATTTTTGCGTTTCCATTTCCATCCCCTTGCCAGCCATATTTTTCCTTGGTCCGAGATACAGCAGCCAGCAGGAAACCCTGCCTCCGCCAAAGATGCGAAGAACAAAACGCGAAGTGTATTTGTTCGCAATTACCATCGAAACCCAACGTATTATTCGGCTACCCCGTTCCTTTGTGGTTCACGAAGAACCCGAGGGCCGTTTGTCCAAATACTCCCGTCAAGGAAAACCCAAATGGCGGTTCCAAAGGTCAGTATTGAGCCTTCTGTTATGTTTGGACTGTTGACCATTTCCCAAAAATGGTATCGCATCGGCACTGTTCTCAATTTTGTTTTGGTGAGAAACTTTGCCATACTGAAAATCGCAAAAGTCGCAAAGTTAAGTTCGTGAACTCGTAATCATACATCGTCGGCCGCGCCCTGAAATCCCACTGCTCGAGAGAGTCGTGGTGTATATAAGGGCTACCGGGAAAGAAGCTCGATGGCCGTCTTCGTTCACTTCATGCAAATGACGTGAGCCTTGGTGATGGAGGCTACGGAGATCGAAGCGCCCGTGTCGTTGCGGACAGTGATGACGGGCGTAACCACTAGCTGGACGCGCCAGTGCTCAGCCTGGAGGATGTGAGAATCAATGTTAGGCGCGACAGCGACCATGAGCTGCGTGTTGAAACGTGCGCCAGCATCGGGAAAGCGGAAGTCAAAGGTGCAGCGCGAGGTGAACATCTTCGCGGAGATGGCCCAGGCCTTCTCGACCATGTTGCGCAGAGCCACATCAGCTTCTTCCAAGTTGGGGCCACCTTGATCTTCGGCGAGAAGCAAAGGGCCAAGCATCTCTCGAAGCTCGGCTTGGAAGTACTCGATGCGGTGGTTGCGGTAGGCTTCATAACGGTCGTGGTTGATGCACGAGTTGACAATCGCGGCAATGCGATCAATGCAAACCTGCAGAGCGCCACCTTGGCCAGCTGTAGCTACATGTCAGAAGGGAAATCTTATAAGGCCAATGTCGAAGGGAAACTTACCGGGCAAGTTGTCCATCTCGCGACGGATTTCTCCGATCTGGCGATCAGCGTCCACAGAGAATCCCTGCCAGGCTTCGAATACAAAGATGCGGCGCACCAAGAGGTCGATCATGGCGCGAGAGACAAGGCATGCGCGCGCTACACCATCATTCATGTGCTGGCGAATGTAGGACCAGGCTTGAGGCTCACTGAAGGGAGCGTAAAGCGTGGTCATGTAGCGGAAGATGGCAACCTCTGTCGGGTGCGACATGATGGTAGGATCGATAGAGGTGGCGAAGCGGAGTACCTAGCTCCGAGCCAGACCCCAGACGCCCTCGAAGGCACGGGCGAAGCGCTCGTTATCGCCATTGTCTTGGCCAAAGCCTCGTCCAGAGGGAAAACCAACGGCGCCCACGTTCGCCGTCTTACCAATCGATCTCGGACCGCTGCCAACTTGGCCGAACGGGCCGGATGCGAAGCCTTGACTGTAGTTGGCGGAATGATAACCCTGGCCAGAGCATCCACCGCCGTTGTTGCGCTGAGGGGGCATACTGTGATGGTCAGAGGCACCATTGTAGAAGTTTTGGCTGGGGCCGAAACCGGGAGTTTGGGGGATCAAGGGGGAGGCTCGGGTGAAGCCTGACGAAGGGCCCTCGTAGTCACCAAATCCAGCGCGGCTGGCAGACCGAGGAGTCGGGCTGTTGAAGGGACCGCTAGCTGCGTTGAAATCGCGGCGCGAACCCGTGTTTGATCCAGGTCCATAAGTGTAGTCGTAAGAGACAGCGGAGTTGTCAAAGCTGCTGTCAATACCACCGCTGTGACCAGGGTGGAACTCTGGAGCGTTGGGACGGAAAGAAGACTGCGGATTGAAGCCGCGGTGACCCATGGCAGTGCCAGGACGAGCTTGCGAGGCATACTGGTTGCCGTAATTGCTAGCTCCTTCAAACGCGTTGGGCTGCTTGAAACCAAAAGACTGACGAGTATCGCCAGAACGCGAGTAGGGACGGCTAGGCGGCATGTTTTGCTGGCCAGGAGCAACGCTCGAAGCACGGGTCCAACCGGCGGAAGACATAGTTCTGTTGTCGACAGGGCGGCGGCCGTTGTTGAACATGCCAGGATAAGAGGATGGAGGTCCATTCTGAGTAGTGCCATAGGAAGGGGCGGACATCTTGGGCTGTTCTGCGGCCTGCTGGAAGTTGAAAGCCTGCAGAGCGTTGTTCATCGAAGGCATCGCTTCTTGAGGGCCGGACTGCATAGAAGAGCGGGTGGGAACCAGCTGCGTCTGAGATGCATGGGGAGCGTGGTTCTCCTGTTCCTCCAAGGCAGCAATGCTGGCTGCGTTCAGAGAGGTGATTACCTTGTTCGGCGAGTCACCCTCAGGCTCGCTATGCATCCATTGAGAACGACGCGTGGCAAACTCATTGACGGTCTGTAAGGCAATAGTCAGCTCAAGAAATTCCTCAACGTTGAATGCCTTGCACATACCTCCAAAAGCTCCTTCATGATCTCCTGAGTGCTGTCTTCGCCATCTCTCTGGTGGTCGAGCCTCGCCTTGAACTCGAGCAGCTTGTTCTTATGCTGCTCGATCTCTCCGTGATAGCCAGCAAGTCGATTCTCCACCTCATCGAACTTGCCCTGCAGCTCGGCATAGTCACGCTTGAGCTGGTCACGCTCCTCGGCAAGGATGCTAGCCTCCAGCTTGTTGGAGCAGAGTACCTTCTTATTGTACTCAATGTCAAGGCGATACTCAGCGACTTCGTTGATCGCTTGCCGAAGCATGTTGTTGACGTCTTGCGCATACTTCTGGAGTCCATCGCAGAGATCGTTGGCAATGTTGCTAGGGATTCCAGGGGTGCGGCGAATAGCCTGCTGCGTGGTCATGATACCTGCTTGAACCTGGCGAGCGGGAATCCAGGCGGGCTTCCATCTCAGAGTTAGTCGCGCGCTCGGATGAAAAATGGGATCGAAGGAAAAAAAAAAACACAGAAAGGAAAGCTAGGATAGGATGAAGCGGAGATGAGAGTGAAGAGAAGTAGAGACGAAAGTGTGAGAAGCGAGAAGAATGAGGCGATTGATAGTCAACGTACGTGGTTTCGAGCCAGCTCAGAGCGACGATTCTCTCGAAGAGGGCCCGACAAAGGGCCCTCCAGCTGGCAATGGGCAGCAGCCATCTCTGCGAATACTGGCTGCGACTGTTCGGCGGTGGGCACGATTCTGCTTTCCGAAGTGCTGGAGACGCCAAGCTGTCCACGACAAAAATCGCTTCCAGATGCAGCTGGGGTGTTGGCCGGGGTCTTGGTGCTCGCGGGAACTGGTCCGAAGCCACTCAGACAAGTCGCACTCACGGGACCAGAACGATATCCGGCGGCAGGAGGATCAGTAGGGCGACCGGTGGGAGTCGCGAAGATAGCACCTTCGGAGCGAACGGACGCCTTGCTCGCAGAGAAGCTGGTCAAGTTCTGAGGGTTAGGACCGGGACGCGCTGAAGTTCCCTGGTTGCCGAAAGTGTAATCGGGCTGGAATTTCGGAGGCAGAGGGAGGCGATAATTCTGTTGATAATCCTGAAGGTAATGCTGACTGACTCCGTGAGGCAGATCAGGTCCGAAGACGTCAGAGGGAGAACTCTCGCGGACGGTGCTCGCCGACGAGCTCGGAGTGGCTGGATTGCGACGGTCCTTCGAAGGAGGAGAATGGTCGGAAAGGCGTACACCTCCACGATCCTCTCCAGAGCTACTGCTTGTGTTGCTCGAATTAGCCATCCTGACTTTTTTCCCCCTGGATACCTAGTGGCGGTTGGGATATCTGGTGACAGGTCCAGGATGATTCTGTAAAAAGACAGAACCACCCGTCAAAACGATGAAAAAAAAGTGGTGAGAATGTGAGAAGGGGTGAATGTGTGAAAATTGGGTGGGGGAAATTTGGTGTAGGGAGTTTGTATGGGGAAGAAAGAGGTGGGAGAGGGAGAGGAGGTGGTTTGTTGAAGTTCAGGCAAGTTGCTCCTTCCACATAAAAGCACAAAAGCACAAAAGCAGAGGTAGTTGACGCTAACCCTTTCAGGAGGTCAAGTTTTTCTTCCAAGGGTGAAGCAGTCCAGGTGAGAGAGTGTGCAATGAAAGGCCAGTATTTTGTTACTGGCCTTAGTGACCCAAGGTGAGAGGCCAACAATGGTGCTCCCCTTGCACATGTCCCTTGCCCACAGCAAAGCCCATCAAGCATAGGACTGAAGAAAAGGGGCTCTGTTTCTTTTTATCAAGAACAACACTTGATGCTCTGGCTGATATGTCTTCTCTCCAAACTTGTCATATCATAGAAGCCAATGTAAGGGGATGATGGACATAGACCATGTCCACAGATCAACAGCCCAGCGGCCCTTGGCCCATGTACTGGGTGCTTGTGGGGGAGATTTGAGGAGGTTGGAGACCAAGAAGAAGGCGCCACGACGTACCAAGATATGTACCAGATTTCCTGGTTGTTGCAGCAAGGTCAGGACAGATTCTCTGTGCCTACCACGAATATGTGAAGTCGCAAGCAGATGGCCAGCCGACGATGGACCTGTAATAGTCGGTGTTCAAGCCAGTTCTTTTTGACCTCGGGGTCTGCTGTCGTGTCAGCATCATGCTCAAGGGCATCAGAGAATGCGAGGGACCGACCAGCAAATTGCGGACTGAAGTCAAGGGCCTCTCAAGCGTCCTTCAGTACGCCAATATGTCAAGAACGTCGCCCCTTGAAAGCAATAGCAACCCAAACCCAAAGCAAGAGAACAAAATTCGACTGGTTTGCTCTCCGGAATAGTCAGAGCGCGCGCAAAAAATGAGAAATTCGATCTGCTGCCTGCGAAAGTCAGCCAGGAATGTCGCTTGGAGGAGGGATAGTCAGGGAACTGCGTAGCTACCTGCGAAAAGCGTACTGTCGCCTTCCGTATAGGACGAGAAGCGCAAACGTGGTGCTGTGAAGCTTCTGGCGGTGCGTAGTAGAAGCTGAATACGGCAGCTGACTTCGAGAAGCGACAGAAAGGCGAGGGAAGCTACGAGCGCTCCCGTCGTTGTGTATAGGAGTAAGTGACAGGAGATGGGAGAAGAAAAGAAGGAGAGACAGATGGGGGATGGGAGAAGAGAAGGAGGATGTGGTGATGTTTGTGAGATGGGGAAGAAGAGAGGGAGATGAAAACTTTTCACTCAGGGAAGTAGGTAAGGCGAAAGAGATCTATAGGACTGCTTAGTCGTCGAGGGGCCTTTTTGCTTGTACTGGCAAGAACCTGAATAGGGAGTCCTCGCCTTAAGGGGCTTCTTCTCGGCGGTGGACTGTGACATCGTGAAGCGGGCCAACCTGTTCACATACTGGCCAGTGACTGGGAAACCAACTAGTAGGTAGTTGAAAAAAACATAGGGGCTTCACAAGTGAGAATCTAGAGCAGGCAGTGTTGTGTTGAGGGACACGAATGAACAGAAAGGAAGAATGCCGTTAACCTGAGTAAGGTAGATAGACAACATACACCAGCCTTACCTGAGACCTGTCCATTTCACTCAACTTGCAACAGTGGCAATATGTTGCAACAGTGAGAACCTTTGGGAGTACCTACTAGAACAGCAAGTACAATGATGGATAGTATTCTTGGACAAAAGGAACAGGATAGGGGGGAAACAACAGCATGTATGAGTACAAAGAAGATGGGCGCAAATGACACGAGACTTAAGACAAGAGCTTTCCAGATGGAGGAAGGCTTCAACAAGGACGTTACTCTTGTTCGAGAAAGTGAGTGAGGAAATGAGATCCATCCATGCATGAGATGGGCTCAGAGGCAGACCAAGTCAAAGTCGCCAAGGCACATGGAAATCATACACTACAGCAGCATACCGACGGCAATGACGTCCCCATGATGTGTGATGCTGAAGTGGTTGGTACAGTTGCTAGATCTGCGTAGAAGGCAAAAAGGTACGGGGCCAACTAAACGACTGATGATGAGCCATACGAGGCCAATTTGTAGAATATCGGTCCGGTGGAGATTTGAACGCGTGTGGGAAACTGGAGATGTTTCAAGTCATAGCAGGCGGCAGAGGATAGCCTCGACGTGCTTCCTAAGAAGCACTATCATCGGGCCTGTCGCAGAGTTGATTGATAACGAGAGCCGGAATCGACATACCAGCTAAACTACTAGAGCGTATGAATGTAAAATAGACATACAGCTGAGTTCCATCAGGGGAATGGAGCTTTAGCACAGGCTAATTCGAAAGAACAAGGACAATTGGGCACGTAAAAGTATGCAAGGCATTTGGGCGGTGGCCGACTTCGTGCCAGGCTTAGAAAAATTCTTCAATGTGCTATAGAATCATATTTTAGTACCTAAGTAGGCTTCATGACAACAGCCTCCCCGTACCTTACCCAGATGCCTCTATGGCAACCTGCTCCGCATGTAATGGAGGACGTGGAAGGAAATAACCTAAGGTACAGAATCAGCCAGAAATATTGGCGATCGAAGTGTAATGTAATCAACGTGTTTCTGTTGGAGAATCAGTGCGGTGTCGATCCATTCTCCGGTGGTGTGTGGGTAGACCTTTGGATCTCCGATGCAACGGAGATTTGGCCAGGCAAGAGTGACGGCCTTTAACGGCCAGATCAAGGAACGGACGTTGGCTGCCTCTGTGTAGGGTGGCAAGAAAAGTAGCAGCACGTCGCTTCGGGACTGGTCAGCGTTTGATCAACTTCGACGGGTTTGGTAGATACGTACGTTTGGGGGTCCTAGACGATGTTTCATCGAGGCCATGAATTAGCTTTCAGATCGCTCGTGTGCGAGAGAACAAACTGCTGTAGACGGCATCTACAACAGGTGACGCGTCGATCATCCTGCCTCCAAAGTAGCGGCCGTTGAGACCCCGAATGGCGTTCTCGCCACCCTGGACCTTGTCGAACTTCAGGTAAATGTCTCCCTTCGAGTTGGGATCGACGGCGATGTGTACAACACGGCCGTATTTTTCTTCTGCTTCTTGTCGCACGTCGTCTTCCAGCTCCTTGACCCAGTCGTCACCCTCCTCCCTGCCGCAAAGTTAGTATTTGTGTCTTGTATGCAGGAAACAAAACGTACTCTTCAGGATCAAACATGTTGTGGAGAACGACGCATCGGCTGGCCATGCTCACGTTTACCGGCAACGGCTTGACTTCGGTCTTGGGCTTCAAAACCTGTCGCTCATCTACTCCGTTCGAAGCGTCATCAGTCCTGGCAAGTTTTCTCATCAGGGCATCACGGCTGTAGTTGTTAAAGTTGACTCCTGCGACGTCGGTGTCGTCCAAAGCGCTGGCACCGCCTGACTTCTCGCTGTCTCGTCCACCCGCGCGGTCGAAAGCCGATGTTTGCGGGCCGCGGCCGCCCGCACCCGAGAATGCAGAGCCTTGATACGCTGGGTTCTGTCCAGGGAATCTCTGCAACATGTTGGCAGTACTCTCAGGGGTGAACTTATCGTTTCCGAGGCCGACGCGGATCGGGCGACCCGCCAGGTCGAATCCGTTCATCTTCTCAAGGGCTTCTCTAGCTTGGCTAGCTTCACGGTATCTGGACTTGGTTAGCATGATGTTGACGGTAGAAAAGGCGGAGGACATTACTGCACGAAACCGTAGCCTCGGCTACGTCCATTGTCATCCTTCTGGAGCTGGACGAATTCAAGTTCACCGAACGGTTCGAAGACAGCCTGTAAATCCTGTTCGGTGACGTTGAAGTGGATGTTGCCGACGTACAACCGGTGGAAAGGAATCGAGTTCGGGTGGGCGCCGGTAGCGGTCTCGGAATTGCGAACCTGGCGGTTCTTTTCGGCCTCTGTAAGCTGAACAATGATAGGGATACCTAGCAGCTTCTGTCCGGTAAGTTGAAGAGCTTGAGTGACAGATTCCTCGTTCTTGAATTCAACGTAACCAACTCTGGGAGATTGTCAGTATTGTGGCATGATGAGAAGCAGATGTGCGATGACTTACCCCTTGGATCTTTGGCTGATACGGTCCTTGACAATCTGGGCCTCATTGACGGGGCCAACCTTTTCGAAAAACGCCTTCAAGTCGCGAGTGCGAAGACGGGCGGCGAGCTGCTGGACAAAGACAGTGCGGCGATCCCGTTCATCTTCAGTAAGTTGTGGTGTTGCCTCACGCTTGGAATTCTCAGTACGCTCGTCGTCCTTTGCCCGGCGATGGTCCCCAGAGTAGCGATCAGAACGATCGCGGCGGTCGCGGAAGTCACGGTCGTCGCGCGACGAGCGATAGCGATGGGGTGAGCGAGAGCGGGAGCGCGAGTGTCTTCTTCCGCCTCTGTAGTAATCACCATCTCCTCTATGACGACGTGAGTGACGGCGGTCATCATCGCGGCTTCTGCTTCTCCGCCTACTCTTGTGGCTGCCAGCGTCGCTCCTAGGGGTGGATGCCTTGTAGTCGTCTGGGGTGCCGCGTCGGCTTCGGGTCGAACTACGGTCGCGGCGGTCACGATCTCTGCGGCGACGATCATAGTCACGATCGCGACTTCCATCGCGGCCACGGTCGCGCTCTTTACGTTCGGGGCGGTCTCCGTTGGGACGATCTTCCGCGTCGTTTGCCTTGGGCTTGCTCTCGGTCGAGCTCTTTGCGGTGGCGTCAAGCAGCGCCTCTACGTCTAGGCCCGACATTTTTTCTGTAGTGCACTGTGATGATGATGAACAGTAGCTCTTCGGCGGTCGCTTCTGCGGTCGAGATATGCTCTGTCGAGAAAAAGAGCAGATGCTGCTACAACGTGGTGGAGGGGGGCTGCGAAAGTTAGGTGCGTGGGATGGGGAGGTTGGCGCGAAAAGAAACCTTGGGCAGGCACACTGAGTCGGGTTTGGCACCAGTCTAACCTGGCACCTGGCTGGACATGCCGTGCCAAGCGTCAAGCGACCCGTGGAATAAGGTAAGCCGCTTTATTACCTAATATGGGGCTCATCCAGTCACATCCGCGAGCCACGGTCCCCTGCCAGCTGCCGCGGCCGACTGCATGCGAGGTACGGTACTGATGTACGAAAGATCACGTGGTTGTTCTCCCGCTCTGCTCTTCCGTCCCAAGCATTGAATTGCTTTGCAAAAACAAACTTCCAACCGAAGGCCCGACCAGACCTCCTCTACGGCTGGCCGTGAACTGGTCCGCTGCAACAGTTCACCGTGAGTTCGCGCCCATGGCGGCAGTACGACTGCCTCATTCGCCAGAGCTTTGATAGCCGCTCAGGAGCATGTCACCAAAGTTGTCACTGTCCTGGTCAAGGCCATGGTCATGAGTTAGGGAGAAGAAGAACGTGCTTTCTAATTAAGACATGGCCTACTGAGGTGTGGTATCATTCAAAATACTCTGTACTAAACCAGCCGTCATGACGGGTTGACGGCTCTTCCCATCGCCGCATCATAGCTGGCTGGGGCGCTGTAATACGCAAGAATCAACTCGATCCTTTCCGTCTCCTCAAAACGCCCAGTGAAACCCCCATTACAGCGTGAAATAATCCCATGAGCGTATATACATGGGGGCACGTGGTGAAGAATGAGCAAACATTGCTCCATCAGGCATTAGAATAGGCCCCCGAGTCGTCATCGTGACAAGGTGTATGAACTTTTTGTTGGTAGAATTATTGCGTCTTGACAATGGGGGGCAGTTCAGTGCCGAAGATGCTGTCCCAGAACCGGCTGGTGACGCCGAAGCCGAGTTCGTAGTCAAGGAAGTGGTGCTGAAGGTGGTACTTCTTGAGCTCCTTGTACCAGAGAGGCAGGTTCTGGTGGTGGAGGAAGTAGTGCGTCAAATCGTAGCAGATGTAGCCGAAAATGCCTCCGCAGAAGACGGCGGTAGCCGCGTGCCAGCTGTACGAGAAGACCCAGTGCGCCAGCTTGTAGAAGGGCGTGGCGAGGACGACAAACAGCGTAGGCGGCATAACGAGGCGATATTTGTCCATGGGGAGGTAGTGATGAATACCGTGAAGCAGGAAGTGCGCGGTAATACCGACACGGTTGTCAGGAAGCCACCTATTGTCAGGGTTAGCATTTGCCTCGAAACCCAGGGTGTAGAGTTTGCGTACTTGTCCAGGTGGAAGAGGAATCGGTGCAAGATATACTCGATCAAGCTCCAAAGCCCGAAGCCAAGCATCCAGTAGCAGACCTCCTGGAAGGTGCTGTTCATGCCCTCCCTCGCCAGGTATGTACCGTATGCCACGGGAGGAAGCCATGCAACAGGCACCACCCACCAAGGCGTCTTGGAAAGGGGCTCCAGGAAGTTACCAAACAGCGGTGCAGACTCGCCGCCCTTGTAGTGGCGAGGACGGTGCACTTGGTCGAGGTAGAATTCCTTGCTGAAACCTCCGTACCAAATCTGAGGAAACAAGGGGCGGCTCAGGTCAAGGAACTTGTGCTTCTTGTAGTCGCTCGAGTAGTCCGTCTCCTTGCTCAAGTCCTCCTCGTTCGCCATACCCGTTCTGGGGTGAACCCATCGCTCACCGTCCCACAGCTCGCCGTTCTCGTTGACCTTGGGACCTTCTTCCTCCTTCTCCGTCGTGGCAGCGCCGTTGCCATTGGCGTGTCCATTCGCATGTCCGTTCGCGTTACCGTTGACCTTGCGGACTGATCCGTTGACCGACTTTTGAGAGATGACAAAGCCGACCAGGGAGTCGTCGAGGACCTCATAGGCGGCCTCGGAGTGCGGATGGGAAGTCGGGTCCTTCAGGATAGCCTCGACGTCCTTGCCGGCGTATTCGAAGACGAGGTCGGCGCCACCGGGGTGGTCTTGGGCGAAGTCGGTCACGTCGTAGACATTGGCGCCAATGGTGACATAGCAGGACTTCTTGTTGTTATGGGCCTCGACCTCGGTGCGAGTGAAGGTAGGGAGAGTTCGTGACGGCATGGTTGCAGGACGTGTCGGGTTCGATGCAGCGACGATGAATGGCGGACCAGGCTGAAACGGCTCGGACGGACTTTTTCTACAGGAGATTTGCGATGGCCGATTAAGAGGATGATGGGTGGCCAAGTCCAAATTGGACGAGAAAGGAGGCGACGGTGAACAAAGAGAGTGGACGGGTTGGAGTCGCCGTAATCAGTCGCTGGCTCTGGCGAGGAGGGAGGGAAAAAAGAACGAAGGGAGAAAGGTCGAAGCGGCGCGGGAGAGGAAAAGGTATTAAGGCGGTATTGTAAGGCAGTAGTAGATAGAGGCGATCTAATGCGAAAAAAAGGAGCCAAAAGCCGGGAGGGCCGGAGGGAAGGCAAGAGAGAGGCCGGGACTGAGGCTCGGTGGAACAGGGTGGTGAGAGACGAACGGAGACGGGGGGGAGGAGGAATTAATTAGGGGGGGTGTGGTGTTTGATTTGGGGGTCGAGCAAGTCAAGGAGAAGCTCTCAAGGCTCAAGGCGAGCGCAATCTCTCGAGACTAAAAAATTGCGGCGTGGTGGCGTTACTCTGGCACCTTGCGGAAGCTTGGACAGCCGATTTGTGGTTCCACCGCTCGACGAGTTCTGCGTTTTTCCAGGGTTTACACTGTGTTGCTCAGCTGTTCGCTCTGCACCCAAACCCCGACAATTCCCACCCCGACAGCAGAGAGTTGGATGGCCTCAGCTCAGCAACAGTCGAACGCGTTCCAAAACGGGCAATGAGTAACAGGGTGGTCTTGAACTCTAGGTACTCACGTACTAGCATGTAGTTATTGCTCAACAGGCCTGGGACGAGAGTGACGACTAAGAAACAGGGGGCCACGGGGACCACGGGGATATAGGGATTGGTATGGATTGGAAGACGGTGAGTGGGCGGGCGGGTGGAATCAGAGAAGGCGAATGAAGGTCAATGAGCATCTGCAAAACGTCGAGTGGGAATGTCCCGCAGCGGGCAAACGGCGATGGATAGTTATTGGTACCTCAGAGACGGAGGTAAAAAGTTGCATGGCAGTCTTGAGACGGGGGCCAGATGGCGACGCTATATGGACGCCTCCACCGTGGAATTAATTCTCTACAATCACAATCACCGAGCCATGAAGTCGAAGCAATGCAGCCCGGTGTCGACGCCGCTGGATCGTCCCGGCTGACAGGTCTGTGCAGGGCTTCGGCTTCTCTCCACTGGAGGGTTGTAGGCCGTGTTGTACTTTGTATGAGGGATAGAAAGGTATTTGTGACTGTGTCGATGCAAGTGTAACGTCGGATATCGTGGGTGCATTTGCATCTTAGCACCAGCAGGCAATAGACCGTGACCTACCAAGATCAAGATCGCGGTGAGTGCCGTGGCGCCCGCTGGCAGAAGCGGCGGTCTGTGGCCTGGCGAGCATTGTTTTGTTGGGGGCCACCCTCCAAGAAACACGCAATGCGCTTTTCATTGCAAGTTGCAAGATGCAACTCGTTGATGCATTACGGGATACCCAGCCAAGGTAGGCAGATAGGTACTGTACTCGAGATGGTTTCTGTGAGGTACTGCCTATGCCTACCTTAGTCTCTTACATGTGTATGCCGCCTATCTCAATACCACCTAGGGCTCACCTTAGTCACCAAGATAGTCTCTGACGCTGGCAAAGAAAAACATTCTGGACACAGAGACGGTGGCTTTGCGTGTGGAGGCTGACGCGCCACGCGTAAGGTAAGATGGATTCGTCCATTTCCAACTCATACCGTGGCGCAATCAAGATCTTACATGATGGAAGGAACTGCACCTCACTTTCTAGTTGTCTCGGAGGCCACCCAATCCACCACGCCACACCACAGTGTATGAAGCGAAGTATCGACCCCCGCACTTCAGTCTTCTGTCAAACTGAAAGTCAAGTTGAGCTCAAGATGGGAGAAATATGGATGAGGAAACGAACACGGCGGCTAGACCCAACCTTAGCGGGCAAACATGCTTGATCACCTCGTTGGGCTGGACACCGAGCCGGGAAGAAGCCTGGATAGCGTCAGGGACGCTCCGGTCGGTTGTCAGGTACCGACGTACCGCCGTACCGCTGCCGCTGCGTCCGAGTCGATATCGATGGTCGATAGTCGATAGTCGACTTGAATCTTGCAAGCATCGGCCGAGCCAATGACTTTGATCTGGGCTGTCCAAACCCCCCACTGGGCCTTGCCTTACCTCATCTCACTAGTCGCTTGTTTACCCCCGGGCCATGCACCATCCAGCACGCGTCTTTTCATCCTCCCTTCGATTTAAAGTCTGGGCGTCTTCAGATGGAGGGGTTGCCGCCGCAAGCCGTTGATGTGTGCTGAGCTCAGCGCACAGAGGTGGCGGGGTTCTGCGGCTAGGGATGCCCGCCGCAAATTGAGTTAATACCAGTATCTTGAACCATCAGATCGCTTGCAGGATAGGTGCCTTACTTGGGCTCATGTTCTGCTTCTGCATTTGCATTCGCTAGCAACAAATCACATCCAGTAGACGTAGCAACGAGAGACAAGCACCATCATCGCCTTAGGCAGCGATCCGCCCGTTGCTTGACCTTGCTTTAAAGCAATGTAAAGTAAAATAAGGTAGACGATGGAGGGGCTCGCTGGCGGCAATCTGTCAATGCCCTGGTCACCACATCAAGGGTTGGGCGACAGGATCAAGCCGGCCAGCTTTTCCGGCTGGCAGTCCGGCACTGACAGGATGCTTTCTACCTCAGTGCCTTGCTTTATTGGGTAGGCCGGCCCTGTCAGTCGATGATGTGCAACCACGATGCGCCCACATGTGAAGTACATAAGGTAATCATGGATGTGTATGCGCCGCCTTGTGTGGCTGTTGGCACATTCAGCTCAGCTCAGGATGCTGTACATGTGACACCAACCAATCGCCGCTCCATTTTCACAGCCAAGCTTTCATTTTTTTTTTTTCTCCTTCGGTCCTCTACCTGGGCAGTTCCCCTCCATCATCGCTACCCTAGGGCACGACCGGAGGAGAAGGTGTCGTCAGCAGTGATCCTGACATGTGGCGGGGCAGCCAATTGGTATTTCGTGCTAGTAAGATTGCCCCGCATCAACCTTATGCATTATCTAAGACTACCATTCCTCCCGCCCCGAGATCCCAACCCCAAGCTTCCAAAGTCTTTGCGCGGCACCACTTTGCCGTTGACGTACTACCTCACCTTACCTCAAGGGAATGTAATGGATGTGTGAAAGCCAGCCCAGACAAAAGCTGTCGATTGTGCTAGCTTGAGCTTCTACCCTAAGCTCTCCCGTCCATCTCAAACTCTCAACCCATCCCCCAATCCTCTCTTCGGCTCTGTTTGCCTTGCATCACCTTGCCTGCTCGGGAGCTCCATTGCTTCATCGAGTAACGCAGCTCAGAGTAGCTTAGCTTATCTACCTGCCGCGCTTGAACCTACCTTACCTCACTCTTCTCACCTGGCTTCGTCGCTGTTGCCCCTCCGAGGCTGATTCTCAACCTTGCGCACAAAGATCGAGCTGCAACCTCTCCATTGCAACCCGAACATTCGCGGCCCTGGGATTGAACTTCGCGTCCCATCTTTCCCGTCTTTTCAACCTCTTTCCGAGACTCCCGCGACCCCGAACCATGGCGTCATCCGGTCTCGGAAGAGGCTCCCTTCTGCTGGCCTTGTGCCTTTTGCTGGTGCTGCTTCCAGGCCGCGCTGCCGCTTTTGGTGCCGGCAATATCCCCTCCATTGCTCAGGTACTGTCGCCAGCTGCTCTCTCCTCGTATAATTCCTTTGCGCAATACTGACTGGCATGCGATGGTTAGGTAGAGGGCCACAATTGGCGTCATGGAGGTACGATGCTTACCACTACTCTTCATACGCTTCAGCTTCGCTTACATTGCGCGCAGACATCGAGGACATGCTGAAGACCATTGCCTTTTTGAAGGGCAAGAAATGGACTTCCATGCTGGTTTCCCGAGTCTATTTCGGCAACTGGCTTCGCGACTACTCTCAGGCTGTCGACGTCGGTAGCTTGAAGGGAGTGAACGCTCCCACTATCAGAATCCTGGTTCGTGCTGCCGCGTGACAACAGTCCTCCGACCTTATTCTTCTAACTACTTTCACCAGGTGTGGGTGCTGTCGTTCATGGCCTTCGGCTACGCGACTGAAGAGTTCGAGGTTACTGAGGAGCGCCTCGGCGTCTACCGCCCCGAAGAGCATATCGACAACCCCCTCGGCTACGCTGATGGCATGGACGCGCGCAAGTTCGACCCCCGTCTTCGAGGTCCCGTTGATCCTGTCGAGACAAAGATTGACTCGCGGACTGGCATGAAGAACTACATTGCAAACGAATCGGGCGGGTGGGCAACCAGTGCTGGCTACTTGCGCTTCAGCTTCGCCCGCAGCATTCACTATGGTCGTATGTACACCAATGGCTCGCGCGGTTCGGGCAAGGAGGAAGATCTTTGTGAGGCCCTGCGTTGCCTCGGACAAGCTCTTCACTGCATGGAAGACTTCAGCGCTCACAGCAACTACTGCGAGCTTGCGCTTCGCGAACTCGGGTACCGCGAAGTCTACCCGCACTGTGGTGCAGCCACCGAAATCGAACTTCATGGCCGTCGAGTGTTCCCACTGGTTACCGGAACCTTCGGCGCCGTCGATTTCCTCCATTCCGTTCTCGGCGAAGCCACCGACCATTTTACTCAATCAGAGGTTGATGAGATGAATGTTGCGCTTCAGAATGCTGAGGGCTTGACTGCAGGCGTTGGAGGTGGTTCTTCCGGAGGCTCTTCAGGAGGCCTCAGCAGCATCCCAGGACTCGGAAGCTTGGGCAATCTTGCCGGTCTCGGCGGCGGCGGCGGCAGCGGAAGCCGCGGGCTCTTCGGCCTCGGATCTAGTTCATCTTCTAACAAGTCCAACGACTTCATCTCTCTCGTCGACCAGCTTCCCGGCATTGGCGGTGGCTTGGCCAAGCAGGCCAAGGAGCTGCAGACTCGTTCGGCCCAACAAGAGCAGGAAAATCAGCGTGCCGGCAACTACTCTAGCAACCGCGGCGATCTCTCGCGTGACAGCGCAAACCAGGTCCCCGGTATGAGCGCGGACTTCGACCCGGTCAAGACGGCGAAGAACATCTACCCCATTCTTCAGTTCAGAGACAAGATCGTCAAGTCCATAAGCAACATCATCTCCAAGGTTCCTGGTCTGGAAAAGCTCTTGGATCACATCAGTGAGACGTTGACTGCGTTCATTCTCGGACTCTTGGCGCCCTTTGTTCGGCCCATCATCAACCAGGTCTCCAAGGTGCTCAAGGACGGCTCCTCGACGGTCATCAGCGCCAGCTCCAACTCCCAATTGGAGCCTTGGAAGAACCCTAGCTGCGATGACCCCACCCATTCCATGCTTTCGAAGGATCACTTCACCAACGTTCTCAACTCGTGTGCTGGCAGAGTCGCAGCTGCGATTCTGCAATACGTTGTCCCGTGAGTACACCGAACTCCAAACTTGTTGGTTGAGTTAAGCTAACGATATACAGTCGAGTTCTTTATGCCTGGGAGAACCCCGGTGTACCCGTCGATGAGGTCGTTAATGATGTCCTCCGTGCTTTCCACCACCCGGCGATCCGCGACGAGAGAATTGAGATCCAGAGGACGATGTTCGAGACGGTCCGCAAGTGGGCTGACGAGAGCCCTCTGAAGCATCAGTTGTCTCACCTGCTATCATCTGAGTCGGTCAAGGCTGGCAAGAATCACATTCTAAGCGGCGAGGGCTCCAGGAGCCACAGTGGCCCTGGTCACTCTCACGGCGCCTGGGACAGCTTCGGCGAGCTGGGCCACGGCAAGAACAAGGGATCCCTTTGGGGCCAGATTCGGACGAGAGATCTCAACTCCATGGAGGGCGATGACAGGAAGCCGTTGTCTAGCTCACCGCTGCCTCCTCAGAATCAGAACTTCGGCTACGACCAAGACCAGCGAGCGAGCAGCCAACCGTACCCCAGTGGCGGGTACGAATCGTCTCAAGGACAGGCTTCCGGTTACTACAGCCAGCCCGATCCTCAAGGCTACGGCCACCACCAGCCGCCTCCCCCGCCTCAGGGGCAATGGGGTCCTCCCCAGCCACCTCAGGGCTACGGTGGACCGGGCTACGGTGGCCCCGGCCCCGGTTACGGCGGACCGCCGCCGGGCCAGTACCCTCCGTACGGACAGCCGCCCCCTCCTCACCACCAGCAGGGCGGTGGTTGGGGACAGTACCCCGGCCAACACCGCTACTAATGACGACGAATAACGGGTTTGGAGGGGATCATATCAAGGGCTGATGATATCTGGATGGTAACTACAGTGCTAATGGGCGCGGATCGGGAAAGGGAGACGACCAGCAAAAAGTCGTCCGGACGGATGAAAGGAATGATTCCCAGAGACACGAATTAGATGATTTTACTCTGTTTTTTTCAATGCATTGATGTATGTTTCCCTCCTTTTTGAAATCCGTGCTCTGCCAGGAGTCTACAAAGATCAAGTTTCCGGTCTCCACAGATTCCCTAACTCTAACTCCTACTGTTGTTGCTGATATCTCTGGCCTCCATGTCCGTCCCTGCCCCTTATTGAAGAACTATCTGGTCTCTCATGTCGAACAACAGACCGTCGCAATGCAAAATTCGAGAAGTCGAAATCTACCGCTTACCACGTCGAGGATCCAACGCTTCCGCTCTCCTCTTGTCGCGGATTTCCTTGGTTCCGAGGCTACCGACGCCGCCCTCGGAACGTCTCTCCCAGCCGCCTAGCCTGACGACAAGACACGTAGCATTATCGCCGTCATGCGAGACCTCGGTCGCGTAATCCACAACATCCTTGGCGCCCTGCTCAGGCGTCCTGGCCTCCTTGATTACGTCGACAATCTCCTGGTCGCTAAGCGTGCCCGATATGCCGTCGCTCATGAGCACCAGGAAAGAGTACTCCGCCGGGCCGATCTCGACGCGGGTGATTTCCGGCTCTGCCGACACACCGATACGCTTACTCCGCATGTCGCCAAAGGAGCGGCTGTTCGCCAGGCCCATGATTCGCTCCTCACCAAAGCTGTCACCAGAAACCATGGATCCGGCTGGGGCGTAACGACGGAGGCGACGGCTTTCCGTGGGGGTTGTGGGGTGATGGTCTGATGTCAGAGGTTGAGAGAGGCCAGTGGTGGTCTGACAGAGGAGTATCCGTGTGTCGCCGACATGAGCAACGACCAAGGTAGACTGGGCATTGGGATGCCAGAAAGGCGCCGGAGTAGGAGTCGAGATGAGAGCCACTGATGCTGTCGACCCGCCCTTGAAGCGTGACAGCCCTCCAATACCGTGCCCTGAGGGAGGTATATGCGGCGCCCCGAGAATTTCGTCACTGTTGAGGGGGGAGTCGCCGACGTGCGGATCGTCGGGGTCCGGCTTGCGAGCTTGAGCAGAAACGAAGTCCAGGTCTGCTCTGAGGAAAGCGTACATCAGGACCGATTCGACTGTGATTGGAGGTCCGTCACCTTCGACTTCTTCGCTATCCTCCGGCTGCTTGAAGAACTCCGGGTTGAATCGTCGAAAGTAGCCTCCGACGGTTTGCTTGTACTGCTCCACCAATTCATGCTCCAACTTGACAGCCTTGGGAATGTCTTCCACTTTGGCCGAGACGGGATCTACTCCTTTGATGGGTTGCTTTCTCTTGGGATTCTTCACCACACCGTGGGCATCTTCCTTGGGGACCCGCATCTGATCCCGGACTTCCTCTTCTGATTTCATGTTCAGCTCTCCGTGCCTATCGGCTTCGTCTTCGTCCTTGCGGCCTGTCTCCGGTGTTGAACTCCTCCTGAGGCTGCTCTGGAGCCCGAATTCAGCGGACGCCTGCTCAATGTAGCCATGCAACTCATCTCTCAAGAATTCAGCACACTGAGATCCGCCATGGCCATCGAAAACGCCAAAGTAGAAGACTTGAGGGTCGCCAAGTGCACTATCCGCAGAGGTAGCCTCGTCTGGCTTTTGTATGGGTCTTCTTTGAAGACTGATGGGAGCTCGCTTGGCAAACGCCGGCATGTTTATCGTTCCGGCTTGGTTGGTATCCTCGTTGTAAGATCGTTGGCCTCTCGACGAGAACACTCCGAAGTGGTGTTTGGCTCTTCGCAGCGGAATTCGAACAACCGTAAGGTCTCGGCTGGGCATGTTGAGAGCTGCAGCGGCAGGAGAGGATCCTGGCCTCAAAGAATGGGGAATCGATGCATCGCGGGGCAGCTTGTGTCCAGGTCCAGGAGATCGAGAATCAGGGTGCATTGATGACGACGGTAGATGGGTGACAAAGTAATTGTGAAAATGCCGAATGTTTCCAAAGCGTGTCCTTTCATTGTTTTCGAAGTGGTTTTGTCGCGAGCTTCGAAGGAAAGTCTGGAACTGGGTCATGTCCCTCCGAGGGACGGCTCGCTGGGGCTTCCATCGTCGTCGCAGCGGTGATGTCGGGGCGGAAGCTTGCTCTTCGAAAGCTTCTCCGGCTTCCGTTTTTCGATCCGTGTAAATGGTTCGGGAAATTGGGGCTGGAAGAACTCGAATTATTCCATGACGTTGCGCAATTCGTCGCGATGCCTGGTACCGTGCTATGGCTGGCATTGTACTTGGGGGTAGGGAGGTTCGGGCAAGGACGTCGGGAGCGTCACCGGCACTGCAGCAGCTCGAATAGGACGACCTCACTATTTGCAGAAGCCATGGACTTTCGTCTCTTCGGGCCGAAAAGCGAAGGCGACAGCCTGCGACTGCGGAGAGGATCTGGGCGTCGGTAGGTAGGTCAAGTCACAAAAAAGAGGGGGGAGATGATTGTCAACCGCAGCGTCGGCGTCGGCGAGGCATTGAGCTCTCCCAATGCTGTCGCAACTTGAGGGAACAGCGTGTGTCCGACACACAAAGGGTCAGATGGGTCGAAGGTCGTTGGGAGCTTCGTCGATGTTTGCGTGTCTGTGGTGTATTTGGGACAAAGACAATGAGGATAGTTGGATTGGGTTTGGCCAAGGGACATTGCTGGCCCTCGGTTGTATCATGGATGGACCTGGCGACGTAATAAGACCGACGTCGACCTGGAAAGGAAGGACGGAAAGGAACTGCCCTGGAATTCGGGTAAATGATGTACAATGTACATACATCCCTGGGCTGGTTCCCAGGTTCCATCCCGCCAGGAGATGGCGGGGTTCTGGCGCCTGGCATTTGCCATCGGGGCGCTTTATCTTATCGCGGGCGACAGTACCTTCATACTTGGGCGACCCGCTGTAGCGCAATCGACTGGAACCCGTTGGCTTGCCTCGGGGGCGAATCGTGATGACTAGCAAGTCATGTTCAATTCACCTCACTTTCTACTTTCCAACAACGACAAAGAAATCGCGTCTCCAAATTGATACCTTGACCTGAAGAATGGCCAGTTGCATCTCGCCTCTACATGTCGAATATTGAAACCCCGTCGAAAGTCACGCCCATCCCTGCTGCGCCGTCTTACGATGGAAGACTCGGCGCCAGTTCAGGATGACACGTCAGATCCGTCATCGGGTGATGACCCCATTATCATAGCCGACGATGGGGATATTGTTCTGGACGTTACGTTTGAGACCTCGAAGGAGACCCTCGCCGCGGCTCGCAAGGTTTGGCAGGCTGCCGCAAAGAAGTTTGGCGCTCCACGCATTCCTCAACCCAACCTAAGTCCGAGCATCAACTTGGCGTATCGCGTCAAGCTTTCCGTCTTGCAAAAGCAATCACGATACTTTGCCAACCTCCTCGGAAACAAGCAGTTTTCCGAGGCGAGCAATGTGGAGGAAACCCTAGCCCGCTTGGCGGCCAAGAAACTCAACTTGGTTGAAGTGGACGCCAAAGATCTGCCCTGGATTTCTATCGTCGACGATGATGAGGCTACCCGATCCATCGGCCGTGAGAAGGTTTTTGAAGACTTGATGAGAATTATGCACGGGAAGCAAATGCAGTCCATGGCAGTCAATATGCTTCATGTGACTACGTTAGCCATCTTGGCGGACCGGTTTGACTGTCGAGCTGTAGTCTCAAGATACCTCAGTGTCGATCTGAAATTCAGATGGCCCATGACAAGTGCCAGACCAGTCCGGGCGGGCACTCCCAAGAAGACTCTTGACGTCGAGAACGTACTCAGACAGACCGTTCTAGTTGCCTGGCTCTTGGAGCAGCCTCCTAGGCTCCATAAATGCACCCGGGAACTCATCTTGCGCGGTTCAGTGCGTTGGAGTAACTTGGCTGTTGAAGAGAGTTCTCGCTCTGAGTTGTGGTGGAATCTACCCGATGGTTTAGAGGGTGAGTACCAACACAAGCTTCCAAAAGCGAGAGGTTGACGAACTAATCTTGTTCAGCGGAACTGCAATATCGACGGGAATGTGTTTTGAACACCATCGCATCGATCCAGCGCCATTTCCTTGGGCTATACTCTTCTCGCGGTATGCAGTGCAAGCTTGGATACGACACAAGTGCCGCGTGTGATTCTTTTCAGCTGGGCCAAATGCTCAAGTTCTTCACCAGCAAAGAGTTGATGGGTATGGTGGACTTTGGGCCCAGCTCTCTGGACAACATCCCGGACTCCTCAGTCGTTGATGTCGAGGAGATTTTGGCAGCTCTGAAGCAGGTTCCAAGCTACCAGATTGACAAGCACCATACCAACTGCGGCATTCGGACGCGACTCGAGCCTATCCTGGAGTACGTTCGTTCAATGTTGTCCTCGACGGTGCTCTCGATCTCGCAAGTTGACTGGAAGAACGATCGCGAGACTGCCACATGGGTCCCCGCCGAAATTCGTACCAGCTTGGGTAGGGAGGAGAAGAAATTCGAATTCACCCGAAGCCTGGCTGGAGACCAACGGCTTCGTTACGAGGGCAACATGTACGCTGATAAGATGGCTCGCAAATTGTTCACGGCTGAGAAATGGGACTGGACACCTGAATACTAAGGAGCTGGCATCATCATCGATGACTCGGGCTTGGACGCGACATAGCGAGCTTTCTGTTACAGTTCTTCCACACTATATCAAAAGAATTATACAACCTCCGTTCATCGCCCTGCGTTCTGCTGCGCGAGCCTCAGCGTAAACTACATTGTGCATCAAACCCAAGCAACCCTCCAACGTATGGGAGGTCGCCGTCAGAGGATTACGAAGAGGCCGTGACAGTCTTCGTGGTAGGCAAGCCCTTTTCCTTGCCTGAAGCCTGATCAGAGAGCCTACCTTCGGACTGCACCTCACTTCCGCTGCCTACAACCCCTTCCTCGCGCGACACCTTCCTCTTCATCAACGGCCAATGCCCCCTGAGCTCATGGAATCTCAAGACGAAGAACACCAGCATAACAAAGATCCAGTACACATTGTAGGCAATCACAGATCCATACGTGGCAGAGTTCGTCCATCCGAGAACGGCGTTGAAGATTCCCCAACCTCCGCCACCATTTAATTCCGGACTGCAGCACTTCGAAGAGTCAGCATGTTGGCAGGACATAAAATGAGCAGGGAGAGCATACGTTGACGTGCCACACACTCTTGTCAATATCATACGAGCCCGGTCCGTTCCCGAGCTCCCCAGCGTCGCCGCCGACCACGTTGTTCCACGCTTGTTGCTCGAATGCCGAGACCGCTCTGGTGAAAAGTCCGGCGGCGACGAGGTAGAGAAGACATGTGGACACTACGAGGAAGACTTGCAGCTTGGCAGTCGACCCGCCCCTTGAATATCGTCAACACGTCGACTCCAGGCACTTGTTTCTCGAGATACTCACTTGTATAAAAGATAGCCGACCAAGGCACCGACGAGCAATCCCATGACAACAGGAAGTGGCACTGCAGTCACTGGGGCTGAGAAAGAGACGCCAGCGACAAAGACGATGGCTTCGATGCCCTCTCGAAGCACCGTGATGAAGGGCAGGACGAACATGGCGTACTTCTCGACGAAGTGCTTGAACCAACCCCGCTTGATTCCAGTGACGGGCGACTCCATGGCTTTCGCAAGCTTGACGCGCCACTTCTCCTGCATCTTACCGATCCGAAGCAGAGCAGCTCCCATTATCGTGATGATGACGGCGGCGAATATCGAAAAGGCGCCTTCGTAATAGAGCTCATGGGCCTCCCAGCTGTTGCGACCTAATTTGTAGAAGACGCCGATGAGGGCGCCTGCGGCAACCAAGCATATCAAGAACCCGATACCTGTGCCAAGCCATACCTGAGGTGATTCGTCAGAAGCGGTTGCGGCAGGATGAAGAGCTCGCCTACCTGTCTGCGCAAGGATTTGTAGACAGCCACGTCTCTTCTGGGGCCATCGAGAGTTTGTTTGAGAAAGGCGAGCAGAACCGACACGATGATAACGGTTTCGAGGCTCTCTCGAAAGACGACGAGAAACACGGGTACGGAGAAGACGTCGACGGTCATTTTGCGCTATGAGGGGAGTCGAAGCGAGTGAGGAACATAAGACGTGAGTCCAAAGGCACACCCTAGAGGTTGGGGACAGGTAATAATCAAAGTCGGTCAAAGCCGACAACAAGGAATAACTTGTTGATCTGATAAAGGGAGTCTGATAGTGGTTAGGTCTGGCCGGCGGAGGTCTTAGAAGTCTGCCACAGAGGCTGGGCTGGTGGCAAGGACCGAAGGCGGGACGCTAGCAGAGTAGAGCAAATAAGAGATGGCGTCCATATCACGATAATCATCAGACCGTACCTTATGCTGGGGTAGAATGTCTGACGGCAACGGCTCTGGCCAGCTTGTGACCGAGGCTCAAGAGCCGAGCGGGAAAGATGAGGCGAGGAGGGATGGAACAAAGGTGGTGCATGCGTCCGAGACGGTTCAAGGTGCAGAAACAACTGGCCCCTCGTGCAGGGTCGCATGGTTACATCCCACCGGGCCATTTCGAGCGACAAGCTTTTTGGCTGCCTTTAGTACCATCAGTTGGTCTCACCTTGACGTAGTAAATGGAGGTCATCTATCCCTACCTCCAGGCCGGTTCAGCTTGCTTGTTAGTGTGCATCCTGAGAAGACAAGGATGATGAGGCACTTATGTTCTCGCAATAATATTGCAAGACCTTTTGAGAGTTGCAGAGCGCGGGACGATAGTAAGAATATGATATTAATACCCATATGTCTAGGTTGCTTTCGCTGAGCATTCTGTTACATCGAGCAACATGATACGGAAAACCTGGGTTTCGTTGAGCCGTCTTGCCTACCAACTGTACATTTCAGTCGGCGAAGAAAACCGGCATTCTATTCGATAGGCTCTCAAAGACGCCAAAGATCGGTAAACGGCACATAGTTATCAGCGCCACGCAGGACAATGACTTGAAGGCGCCGGTCTGATAGATGTGGCAGACTGAGGAATGGATACTCAATCAAAGTCGGCTTGATGAAGCTAGACAGTAGTGGCACGCTTCTTTCAGCTCTTCTACTCATTACTCATGTGCCAGTCACCAAGCCCAAGTAGATAGATGATGGCGGGGCTCTTTTCTGATTACCACCATCACCGCCGATCCATCAGCTGTGTTGCGCGACTTGGATGTGCCCTCTCTCACCGGTGTTTTCCAGCTCAAGTACCTGTCTTTGCCTCTGACGCTCGTTGATCAAGCCACCGCTCGCACTCTTGAACTGTCATCGAGACAATCTGATGCCTGCCAGCCGAAGTTTGCGGACCTGTTCATCCTGACTCGCCCACTGATAACTCACTTACTCACCTTGGAAAGCTGGAACACTGGAAAGCTAGCAATGACAAAATGACCAGAGGAATGAAAACAAGACCCCTCTCATGACCCCATCGCCGGCGCCCCCCAGCCCACCTTCATAGACGTACAGGGGCCGCCTTAGCGCGGAGAGACAAGCTTTTTCTGGGCTGTAGGGGACCCCGGCTAGCTGATCTCCAACGCAGCAACACCTCCACTAGTGCTGCCATATCTCACGACGACAACATGCCGACTTTCCGACGAGCCAGTCGCTCCTGGTCTGGCCAGGTCGCTGGTGCCATCAGGTGTGTAAGTCACGACGAGAATTGAAGAAAGGAATGACAACGCTGAGGATAGCTCCAAATCTAGCGAGAAAGGAGGGGCAAAGAGCATGTATGTTTCGTTGCATCTGATAAGATTTGTCTTACACTAAACCCAGCCCCTCACCCGGTTCCGGTCTAGGACTGGAACGGCTGGTGTCCGAGCCATGGTAGATCAGATTGATAAGATGCTTTGGGGCGACGGGCCAGTGTAGAGAGGACACCCCGGCTGAACATGCTCGCCACAACTTGCCGTTTGGTCAGTCCGGACGAAACCTGTCGAGGTTCATTTCCCTCGGTCGCCGTCACTCGTACTGATCGTCGTATCCCGCACGTTGGTTGAATAAAAGACAGCCGGTGCAAATCCATCTTTATTTCTCTGCCGACATCAAGGGCTTCTAGCAATCTCGGCCCCGGAGATTGATCTGGTTGACCATCATGGCCTTCACATCCGGACTACGCAGAGTAGGTCTGCTGGCGGCTTTGCTGCAGACTGCCTGTGCTGCGACCGTCTCATACGACTTCTCAATCGGCTGGGTTATCGCAGCTCCAGATGGCGTTTTCCAGAGACCAGTCATTGGTATCAACGGGCAATGGCCGATACCTAGAATCGATGCGAATGTTGGGGATACAGTTCTCATAAACGTACACAATGACCTGGGGAATCAGTCGACGTCGCTTCACTTCCACGGCTTATACATGAACGGCACGACGCACATGGACGGTCCTGCGCAGGTCAGCCAGTGCGCAATCCCTCCTGGATCGTCATTCACATATAACTTTACCGTAAGAAGCCCTATTGTAAGAGTTCGCCCTTGTGTCGCTCACTGACATTACGCAGATCAACCAGCCAGGCACCTATTGGTATCATTCGCACACGCAGAGTCAATACCCCGACGGCCTTCGAGGCCCTCTCGTGATCCACGACCCAGACTCGCCGTTCAATGGGAAATACGATGAGGAAATCGTCGTGACCCTGTCGGACTGGTACCACGACCAGATGGCCAACCTCATACCCCCCTTCATGAGCAAGGGCAACCCGACAGGCGCTGAGCCCGTGCCCCAAGCCGCACTCATGAACGACACGCAGAATCTCAAAATACCGGTGCAGCCGGGGAAGACGTATCTCGTGCGAATGATCAACGTAGCTGCTTTTGCAGGCCAGTACGTCTGGATCGAGGGCCACAACTTCACCATCGTCGAGGTCGACGGCGTGTACACGGAGCCTACGGACGCCAGCATGATTTACATATCTGCGGCCCAGCGTTATAGCTTCCTGGTCAGGACTCTGAACAACACCGGCTCCAACTTTGCCATTGTCGGAAGTATGGATACAGTAAGTATCTCACGCACGCCTCGTCTTCTGATTTCGGAACTGACCTCAACAGACCCTGTTCGACACGGTCCCTCAAGACCTCAACTACAACGTCACCGGCTGGCTGGTCTACGACGATTCCAAGCCGATGAACCCCCCGGCGACGTTGGATACTTTTGCTCCCTTTGACGACATGACCCTCGTCCCGTTCGACAAACAACCCCTGCTTTCGATGCCGTCCAAGACCGTGGAGCTGGATGTGATCATGGACAACCTCGGCGATGGCGCAAACTACGCCTTTTTCAACGACATCACCTACAAAGCCCCAAAGGTCCCCACGCTCTACACCGTCATGTCAGCCGGCAGCGCCGCGACGGATCCCACAGTCTACGGCACCTACACCCATAGCTTCGTCCTGGAGCGGAACGAGGTGGTGCAGATCGTCGTCAACAACCTCGACTCGGGCCGTCACCCCTTCCACCTCCACGGCCATAATTTCCAAGCGTTGTACCGCGCCCCCGAGGAAGGCGGGACGTTCGCGAACTCGAACGTCTCCGAGTCCGATTTCCCAAAGACGCCCATGAGGAGAGACACACTTGTTCTCTACCCCAACGGCAACATTGTACTGCGGTTCAAGGCTGACAACCCCGGTAAGCCTCCAGCTTTGAACATGGCACGGCCGATGAAGTGAAACTGACATGTCTTCCACTCCCAAGGCGTCTGGCTCTTCCACTGCCACATCGAATGGCACGTCACCTCCGGCCTGATGGCGACCTTTGTCGAAGCGCCTCTGGATCTGCAAAAGTCACTCACCATCCCCCAAAACCACAAGGACGTATGCGACGCTGGCAAGGTTCCCACGATAGGCAACGCCGCGGCCAACACGCAAAACTACCTGGATCTGGCCGGCGAGAACACACCGCCACCGCGGCTTCCAGATGGGTAAGTCTTTAAAAAAAAATCAAATGCGTGTTTGCTCATGCATGTGCTGATACATGCTGCTACTAGTTTCACCGCCCGCGGAATCGTCGCGCTTGTATTCAGCTGCATCACTGGCATACTCGGCGTGCTTGTGGTGGCGTGGTACGGTCTGGCCAAAACGCCAAATGGCCCTTCCGAAGACGGGTTCGCCGCCACGGCGGTGGGGCCCGCCGACGGAGACCAGCATCACAAGGAACCGGTTATGGTCGGAGCCGGGTCCGGCGCGACGGGGCTTGCTCGGGCTTGATTTGGTAAATCTTGCCCACTCAGCGGGATATTTCGAGTGTGTATATTGATGAAGGATGTATGAGAGTGAAACAACGCTGAGATGTTGTATCCAAGACGCTTCGTAAGATGAAGGGACCAGAACCGAAATGATGCGTGATCTCAGTTCCAGACGGCGGTCCAGATTTACGGGGATTCGGGACCCAGTGTCGTAATGTAGCATCCGGGCCCATCATCCGTAGTATCATCGGGTCGGGTTGGTCTTAAGCAGAAGAGTGGTTGTGTGAACAAATCAAATTTTGATTAATCTACTATGGGTCGAAAATCCTCGGAAAAGCCAACATAACTCCAGACTCCAGAACCCGACATTTGTCGTCGATTATTCCTTTTCACCTGCCTATCCTCGGCCGTGACCAGGCCAGCCGCAAGGAAACGGCAATCGGTTTCATTAGATTCCACACAAGGGAAGCGTGCGGCTGCGCCCCTACGCGATCCCCACATGCATCTGCACGTCCCTCTGAAACGAAGGATACGTCCTACGACGACTCTGCTCCCTCACCTGTGTGGTCACCCAAGGCTGCTCTTTAAGCGATGGGCTGTCCAATACGTCCAACCATCCGACGGTACTTACGGACTGGCCAGCTCCCTGAATCGCATTGCTTCGAAGCACATGTTATCCTGGTGGGTAGTTGTTCTGGCGCCAGTGATCCGCATCACCAGTATGCGATACCAGTGTCTCCGGCGCTTTGCAGTATGCTCTCTTAAGTGCTCTTCACCTTTCTGGGGAGACCCTTCTCCCTCCTGAGAGCCAGGTCGCCCTCTGCAAGCCACTTGCTTGCCTTGACAATCTGCACGACGTTGATGAACTGCTTCATTGCCATGACGGGGAAGCTGACGCCAGCAAGCACCCAGGGCCAGAAGGAATCCATTTTGTTGGCGCGGGCCATCTCGAGAGCGGCGGCACTGTAAGGGTTGGGGAAGATCTGGCTGAGCAAAGACGTGTTCACCTGCGCTCCGGCCTGGATCTGGGCAGCGTCCAAGTTAGAGACGCTGTTGAGCAGAGACGGCGAAAGGAGAGGCGAGGAGAAGGAGAGGAGATAGAGCGCAATGAAGAAGAGCTCATTGAGGGCGCAGAAGATGAAGAGAACGGTCTACACGGAATCATGTTAGAACGGTACGCGACCCGTGGACAGGTGACTTACCTTGTTGGTGTAGTACAGGTTCAAAAGCCAGCTGCGGCTCTTGTCGACGTTCTTGTGACTGTTGTCGGAGCCTCCCATGGTGAGGGTAGCGTACATGTGAATGTAATGGCTGGAGAAGTCGAGGGAGAGCAGCATTTGGAAGACGATGGTCCATCGGGGGAACGCGCAAGACAGAAAAACCAGCAGGCACGAGGTCGTGCATCTGTCGGTGACCATGTCCAGAACGGCACCGAAGCGGGTCGACTGCTCGAAAGCGCGCGCGGCGTATCCATCGAGTGCATCCAGGAGGCAGGACACGCTGTACAGCAGTGAACAGGTTCGCGGATGGAGGGGCATGTAGTATAGGGAGGCGACGGCGAGGACGATGCGCGAGTAGCCTGCGATGAAAACAATAATTAGCAAAACGGTCGGTAGCCTTGCGAAGCTTCTTGGACAGCCATACCAATGATGTTGGGCCAGAAGAGGAAGATGTTTTCCTTAGGGGCGTTCTCCGAGGCTTCCGTTGGGGCAGCTTCGTTGCTGATGCCATTCATCGTGACCTGTTCGTCGACTGCGGCGTTGGGTGATTCGGCGGCGGCGGCGGCAGCAGCCTGGGCAGCTTGGCGCCTCGTCTGTCGGACCGACATGGTGATATGAGCGACTGGGTACTGGCGTTCAGCAGGTGGGCGAGAAATGTATGTTGAGGGACGGAGCGTGAAGAGCTTTTAAGCAGCGTGGATGAGGCGACCGAGGTAGCCGGTGTTGCAGTGGAGGTTGCACGGATGATAGATAAGTGGTTCTGGTGACGGGATCTGTCTGCAAGTCGAGGAGGAAGGCAGATGGATCAGAGATGGGTCTGGTCGTCCAGTCTCTTGGGGATCTTAATTACGTAGGCGGCCCGGGTTCGGTTCGCGTCGAAATGGAGTCGAGAGCAATTAGGCTGACGGGAAGGGGGAAAAAAGTTGTTGAAGGGAGAGGCGGAGTGATAGGTGTGGAGGTGGTAGAGGAAAGGAAAGGAGCGTGTGAGGTGGTCTGTCAATCAAAAGATAGATAGATAGATAGCGAAAGCTGACAAGACGTGGAAGATGATGAATGCTGATGTGGGATTCGGACAGCACGGAATATTGGATGGCTTGCCCAGCTTGTGCTTGCTTACCTCCCCTTCCTTTCCTTGACCTGACGCCGCAGCTCAGAAAACAATGGAATCACTTCAGGTTTTCCGGCGCCGATAAATTGCTATCGTGCTTGGCTCCTCCACGGGCTACGTAAGGCCAGGCAAAGTATCCTCTTTAATTACCATCCGGGCTGCGCGGCTAGACGCGACGAAGACTTTGTGCTGCATCGTGTCTCAGTGAGGTACACACGGCCTCAGTGGCCACCAGGCAGGCAGGCACCTTAGGTACGGCAGGTAGGTAAGCTGAGGTGCTCGTTCTGCAGTCCTACCTTACGTACCTGGGCCCTCTCACATGTATGCGGATCTGCAGTGGGAGCTTCCAGTGCTTCCGCCTCCAAGTCGACACCAATTGCCCTTTGAACAGGATCTAGCAGGGGTTTGACCGGCTCGACTTGCCCTACGTGTTGATTGGATAAGCACGGATAAGAAATGGATAAGACACCTTGACTCCTTGACTCCTTCAGCAGGTCAGAGAAATCTCTCTTTCGGTCTTACCTTAGCCCAGCAGATACATCCGCACATCAACGAATTAGAAAGATTACCTTCCTTATCTCGGAAAGTGAACGACGATGCACCTAAAGAAAAGATGCATGGTCGGGATGGGGGCTGCTTGAGAACCGCCGCGATGGATCACATCGCATCCGTCGGTGGAATATCAACTCCACGACGATTCCTACATATCTCCAAAACACCACCGTCCATCTCTGACATATCGCTCGCTTGGGCTTCTCGTCTCGTTGTTAACTTCTCACAACGCCACCAAAAGACCTTTTCAAACACGCAACACTGACTCAAGCGAGGGCTGCCGCACAACATCCCCAGGCGGCTTATGCACGTCTTGGGCTTTTCTCATCTCAAATACCGCTCGTCTGCCCTCGAGAGACAGGCATTGGTGTTCCTGCAGTTTCTTGGTGTTGGCTTCGCGACCTGTTCTCTGTTAGCTCAGGTCAACTACCGCCTTGTCTCCAACGCTGCGCTAGTCTCCGAATCACAAGCAACGAGCCTGAGGACATATTCGCCCTTGCTAGCGACTAGGCATTCACCACAGTCGGCAGGCAAGATACCAGTATCCGTGGTCGTGCATGCTCCCCAACGAAACAGGGCACGAGCGGACATGTCGATGCTGCGGTCTGGTGGACGCGCACGGCACCGGCCCTGCGCCAGATTGGCTTTCATACGATCAACGCGGGCCAGCTGTCAATCATGCCTGTCACCTCTCTGCCCCCAATGGAGATTGAAGATGACATCCAAGTCCTCCAAAGACGGTCGGCGCCGGGGTCAAGACGAGGGACCGTGTGCTCGCCCGGGCCTCCCATGGCCAGCACCCGGAACCGAAGCGATCTCGGCCTTACGGCTGGAGGAGAGCCACAACACCTGACCCTGGACATGATTAGGTATCACGGCCGAGTGCCAGCCGATAGCGGGATCTGACCAACTCGCTTCTCCGGGTGGCGGGCCCGGCGTCGTCACTCACGTTTTCTCCAGTCAGAGAAGGCGCCCACCGGGTCTCTATTCGATACACCCCCGGAACGGCACTGGAACCCCCGGGTTGCTCGATTCATGCCGCTTTCTCAACTTGCCTCGTACCGTAAGGTACGCTGCTCTCAATTATTCTTCCTAGATGCTGGACCGGTCTTCGTTTCACGCAGGAGCAGCTATCTGTCGCACTACTTCCTCCTGCTCGTCAACGTTGCGTTCGAGGCCGGATACCGCCTGAAAAGCCTCGAGGCCAAGAGCGACAAATTCAAATGCTTGTGTAGCATAGCTGCGGGGAAAAAAAGAACACACCGGTCTTTGGCTCATCGGACATGCCGTGGCATCCTGCAGCAAACACGAGAGACCCTTACTGGGAATAATTAAGACCCAGGGACATGGCACGATATCATCCAACCGCCCCAATTCGATAGGCTGAGAGAGGTTTAGGGGTTGTGACGTCGAGAGCCTCCGACCCGCAAGCTGCACCGTTTTGTGGCTCATGGGGCGACAGGCCTCACCGCAGAATCCCAATGTCTGCCGCTTCCGGCAACGACTTTTGACGGCTGCGGTCAACACATGCACCATTCATTCACCCAGTCCATGGTTCACCGCAGTCGAGGACGGCCGACCATTTCTCATCTCAACCGGCGTTGTTTGTCTCTCATCGTCGATGCATTGGAATCTGATCTAACGCGGCAACCCTATGATTAGCCGTTGCTTTCGCCGACACCACACACCCTTCAATCCGGCTATCCAAAAACTTCATCCTTTCTTTTTTTGGCGACCAGCCGACAGGACGGACGGCTTTGACACGATTCGCACCGCAACTCAATGTTCCACAAAGCAACACACACGCAGGTACCGTATTGGCGCGGCATGACGTCTCCGAGATGGCAGCTGCGGGTTGCATAGCGCAGCGCAGCGCAGCGCAGCGCAGCGCATCGTGGTGTACAACTTGTTGTGGCTGCTTCGTGGTGTTGCTGCTGCGCGACCGTTGCTGTTGATGTGGTCGGCCAGCGTTCCAACCGCCCCTTGGCCGCAGGGCAACACGTCACAGTCACATTTGCAGGGTCTGGACGAGGGAAGAAAAATACTTTTGTCGGACGTCGGTATGGTTCCAGAACTTGTGAAGGGGTGGGTTCGAGCCCATCTCATCTGGTTGCCCACGCCCTTTTGGCTTTGGAGATCGACTCAGGCATCCTGCCGTCAAGGGATGCCTTTTTCACATCTGGCTCTCATGGAACGCTCCGACGCCGCATCTTTCGCCGGCCCTAGTACACTCCGCCGCCACGGTGAGGTGATGTGAGCTGGAGTTCACCAAGTATCGATTCATTCAGTTGCCTGAGTGGTGGCCGTTAAAATAGTCCGTCCGTATGCCTGCCTGGATGAAGTCTCTTGGAAGAACTGACGACGACATGGACTAGTCTACTTGCCGGGATGCCACATGGAAGGTCGGCATGCCTCGAGTGCTAATTAGCACACGCCACACGCCTTAGTCAATTCAGGGTGCAGATGGGGTCGAGATCGTCAGCCTGTCCAAGAACGGCGGTGTTCCTGGACACTCCGAATCCGATCAACAGGTAGAACATTTGATATGGAACATGCCGTCAGGACAGGGAGTGCCTGCTGAGAGAACCGCGACAAGATAGACTCGAGTGACAGAAAACGAGAGAGGGTTTTGGGTCAGAAGACCGGCAAATAAAAAGGGGGCAAATGCAAGAAGAAAAATCGGATCTACATGTCATGATATGTCGTCTGTGTATACACATACACACACACACACTCAAGGTCTGATCTGATGTACAGTAGTAAATCCAAGGTAAAGACGACGATTACGTGGGTGAGTGTGAATGTCTGTACTCCGTGACTTCATACGAAGTACAGCATGCCGGTAGTACTGGACGAGTCCATGTTCGTGGTGTAATTCATCTTGCCGGGCCCGGCAAAGTCAGGGGCTCTGCACTTGGTTCCTGTTCCTTGTCCCGATAATTTATCCTCTTCGTCTCCTCTCCGTCGTCTCATTCATTGATTTGTTGGCATTTGATCCATGCACTTATGTTGCTAGTGTTTTTTTTTTTCTCTATCCCTCTCTCTTGTTGGCCTCCTGTTTTCTCTCTCTCTCTCTAAATTGCTCTTGGCCTTGCAATCACTCTTCCCCAGTTCTATTCCTCTCTCCACTTCCCTTCTCCCTTCTGGGCAAAACTTGATGCAGAGCGAACGCGAACCCCTCCATCCCCCCTCGTCGATTTTTTGCCCGCCGCCCTCAGTGTCTATCTAATCTTAAGCGCACCCCCACAGTCACATTCGCGCACATCGAGCTCACTAACTACTTAGTCTTCACTAAAAAGTCCAGCTCGCCTGGCCACACCTTACTCTTAACCTTCGTCTCCCTTACCTTCTCCCGCCCTCAACCTCTGATCGGGTCTTGTCTGTCTCTCCCTCACGTCAAGCCGCACAATCAATTCGAGGCCATCATCACATACGGCGTCGTAAGAGACCGATCGCCACTTGTCTTATTCGGGCCGCTCGCCGCGAGGCTGTACTCTACAAAAACCCTGTTGGCGCGCTTCCTTCAACCATCTCGTCACCTAAGATTTCCCCTCTCTTGCTGGCTTCCCCTCAGCAGCCTTGCCACGACAACCATAAAGGTTTCCGCTCCGCCAGTGTCGTCGCAGTCGGAAACTCAATCTCCGCGGCCAGCCAGTGGGCTAACATCTCCAATATACCGACGACTTCATCACATACCGTCTTTGGGGATCGCTCAAAGAACGCGGGACATCTACTAGGATGACTTCTCACAACACACTCAAGGCGACTTTCGCCAGCCGAGCTGAGACGGCCACCCATCCTCTCACGGCCTACCTTTTGCGATTGATGGACCTCAAGGCGTCCAACCTTTGCCTCAGCGCGGACGTCCCGACCGCTCGAGAGCTCCTCTACCTTGCTGACAAGGTTGGTCCTTCTATCGTCGTCCTCAAGACGCATCACGACATCGTCGCTGGCTGGGACTTCAACCCGCAGACCGGCACTGGAGCCAAGCTCGCCGCGCTGTCCCGGAAGCACGGCTTTCTTATTTTCGAAGACCGCAAGTTTGGCGATATCGGCAACACCGTGCAAATGCAGTACGTTGCTGGCTCTGCGCGTATTATCGAATGGGCCCACATTGTCAACGTCAACATGGTTCCCGGCAAGGCCGCCGTTACAGCCCTCTCCGAAGCTGCGACCAGATGGCGCGAACGCTACCCTTACGAAGTGAGGACTTCGGTCACAGTTGGCACGCCAAGATCAGAGAGCTTCGACGACTACGACGAGGACCAGGCGAACGACCTCAACGCGCAAGAACATACCATCGGCACTCCTCGCCCGCCCGATGTGAACGGCCGCAAGGGCAGCATCGTCTCGATCACGACCTTGACCCAGCACTTCGAGCCGGCCCCCTCGCCCCGATTCCCCCGCAACGAGTCACACGGTGACGATATCCTCTACGCTGGCATCGAAGAAGCACCCATGGAGCGTGGTCTCCTTATTCTTGCACAAATGTCCAGTGCGGGCAATTTCATGAATAAGGAGTACACTCAGGCGTGCGTGGAGGCCGCGAGGGAAAACAAAGGTTTCGTCATGGGCTTCGTTTCCCAGGAAAACCTCAACACCGAACCAGGAGACGCTTTCATCCACATGACTCCTGGGTGCCAGCTTCCTCCGGAGGGCGACGAGGAGAACGGAGGTGTCGCCGGTGATGGCAAGGGCCAGCAGTACAACACGCCGCAAAAGCTGGTCGAGCTTTGCGGTACGGACATTGTCATCGTCGGTCGTGGTATCCTCAAGGCAGGCGATCCTCCGTCGGAGGCGGAGAGATACCGCAGGAAGGCGTGGAAGGCGTATCTCTCTCGGGTAGCGTAGGCGGTCCTTCATCACACCAATACCCAGGCGTGTTTCAGTTCTATGTTCATGTGTGTTTGTTTCGGTCGTATCGACGTCGGGAGGATCTGGCAATTGTTTGCAAGCGCATTTTCGCGGGTGTCTGCATATCGGTCTGCAATGATGTTCATGTCGTGGAGATTTAGGAGTAGGACTCGGCACTGGGACGGTTTCTTAGACGGGGTCTTGGTGAACCGGAATGGACCAACCAAAAAAAACAACGGGTGTGGCCTGGCGTTGAAGACAAGAGAATTTTCATAGTGGACTGTCACGGTTGATATATTACAATTGACTGTCTCTGCAACACACCTATTCCATCTCGCTCGATCTCCAGCCCTTCGTGAAGCACTCTGGATCGCGCGCAGGATCGTGAGCAGCGACTCATCAAGACCCGGAAGACTGAGTAGACGGTCCTTACTCGAACGTCGGTGATCGGCAATTGAAACCATGTACCGTCAGGGCCGTTGTTCGCCCACATCTCCCGATTTGTGACAGGCAATAAGCGGTTAAGTTCTCATCGACACCATGGCATGTGGCATTGGCATGGCATGTCACGGCGAGGCATGGCACGGGCAAGGAAAAGGGCAGGGAGGGCATGACCAAGGACCGGCGACGTCGATGGGATACAGAGAGCGTCCCGTCGTCATTGGCGGACGGTAGTTGTGGACGAAGAGCCGGAGACAACAACAAGAGGTTCTGAGGCGGCAAGCTGGAGGACAAGGTTCCCCGGGATGCAACACGTTCTCGTCGAGCTGCGAGATTCAAGAAGGCTATTTTCCCCAAGATGCTGAATTTAAAGCTCAGCATTGCACATTTACCACGCGCACAGCAGGGGCAGCCGGCGGCCGTGGTCGTCCTTACTTCCAGACGACTCCGAAGGCAGTGGTGCGACGACTCCACGAGGCATGGCATGGCAGGACTCTCATACACACCACACCACACCACCCACCACACAGGACATGGCATTTTTCGGCGTGCGTGCCCTGTCGGCGCCCTGCCGGCCCTACCCCTCCACATGGGGATCTTGGTCGGTGACGGTCTGTCTGTTGGTGCTGCTGCCGCTGCCGCTGCGAACGCGACCGGTGCGGAACGCTCGCCGCCTTGACCTGAAATTTGTCTGTGTGGTCTTTTAACCTGCTTTCTCTTTCTGCTTTCCTATCATTCATCTGCAATCCGAGGTCAGTTGTAGGTCGCCGATCCAAGGTCACCCGTACTCTGCAAGGGGGGAAATCCATGTCGGCAGAGACTTGACCTGTGGGAGAGGCCATTCAGCGTGCCAGTTCGCTGCATGTAGGCGATCGCAAACCAAGAAACTATCTTAGCTTGTCCCAGAAGACGGAGTGTGTGTGTGGCTTGGGTCGGCCGTTCGTTCGTGTGTTTGTGTATTCGATGTCGTCGTTGTCGGCCGTCTCTGCGTGTGTGAGTGTACTCTAAATGTGGTTTGACGACTTGATGGTGTGCCGGGCACCACCTCACCACACGGCGTTAAGAAGGTCGTAACGAATCCTCAGCTCCGAGTTTCTAAGTTACAGATACAGAAGAAGTATACTAGATGCAATTGATTGCAGGTGAGGTAGGCCAACTCCCGGCCCCACCGTCATCCAGCCACCACATGCCTTCCTTGCCGCACCCTGTCGAGGTAAGGTAGGTGAGGTATTCCAAGCTCTTGCATCCATCCTCTTGACCTCTGTCTGGCCTTGCTACTTGTTACTGCAGCCGTCACTGTCTCCGTCACCGTCACCGCTGCGCTGTTGCTGAATTTGTTTCTGCCCAGTGCAACTGGTTGTCAAGTCTGCCTGCTCGGCTGATGCAGTGAGAGTTGACCCTGGTCACATCGAGGTTGCTCAGCGGGTCCTACTTTTCCAGATTTCCCGTTGTCTCCATTTCCCAATCATTCCTTGATCCATTGGACCCTGCTTCCGTAATCAATCATTAAACCTGCCGACCACAATCCACGACAAAGAAGCGACCAGAAGCCGAACCACTCGTGGCGCTACATTCTTCTATTCTATGCTTCTCGTATGCTTTGCGCACGCCTGCGCGCATACGTCGTATCACGGCCGACCTCATCAACGAACCTACGAACCCTCAGTCGACGACGACACCATTCTCCACACAGCTGCCATCTGCCGGTTTTACCATCGCGCCGGCGAAGCTGACCACTCGAGCAAATTCGCGCCGCGACCCGCCCCGCACTCGACCGTTTACACTCTTCACCTTCTCTAGAGGACTCGACTACGACGACGGCCGACGATGGCCGACGACCGGCGCAACAGCTCCGAAAACCCGCCGTCCGCACGGGAGGGTCAGACACAGCATCCGGCACCAGCAACCGCAGAAAAGCCGCCTCAAGCCCAGTCTCAAGATGGCCGGCCGCCACCCAAGAAGCGCAGGCGCGTCGTGATATCCTGTACAGAGTGTCATCGTCGGAAGCAGAAGGTCGGTCCGGTCACCCTCCATAGCCGTCGCCAATCGCCGAAGTTATCCTATGATGACTAACATGCCTTGCGCGCAGTGCGATCGAGACCTGCCATGCGCCAACTGCAAGTCACGCAACAAGCAGGACGCGTGCAAGTACGAGACGGGTGCGCCGACAGCAAAGGAGCATCAGAAAGCGGAAGCCGAGGGTTCGAGGACAACGCAGGTCCAAAGCCTATCCAACGCCGCGGCCAATTGGGGCTACTCCCACGCAGGGGCATCTACACTCGGCCTCATGAGAAAAATCGAGAGCGCAAATGGCGATGGCTCGCTATCCCACCTGAGCGGCGCAACGCAGATGGAGGACCAGTTTGCTACAAAGGAGAGGTACAAATCCCTGATCAGACAACTTCCGGCCAAGGGCTACATCGAGAAGCTCATCGAAGTCTACTTCCGCGAGTTCAATTGGCAGTACTACGCCCTCGAGGAGGATTTGTTCATGCAGCAGTTCGCCGAATGGAACAATATCCCCTTCAACGTGCTTTCCAACTTGGGACCGCAGGGGCTATCACCGGATCTGAGGGTGTTCCCGGCCTTGCTCTTCCAGGTCCTGGCAACGGCTCTCCTGACTCTCCCAGAAGGATCGCACGAGTTCTACGAGCATCTCAAGTATGCCGGCAACATGACCTTTGAAGACCTCGCTGCTGATTACAGCGAGTCGGGTGTGGGCATTTTGTCGTTGCTAGGCAAGCGACAGATAACTTTGACGACGGTCCAAGCGTCGTTCCTTCGCGCAGCATTTCTCAAATACATGGCCAAAGTAACGGAATCGGTGAGTAGTCCGGCCCGCGTGCTTGCTGGGAAGTCGTCAAAACTAACAGTGAAAATCAAGTGGCACGCCATTGGTAGCGCCATCAGAGACGCTCAAGAAATAGGAATGCACCGCGACAGTTTGGATCCTCAACCGGCCAGTGACGAAACCGAAGATGTTCTGGAGAACATGTGGCTGATTCAGAGGAGGCGCAAACTGTACATGGTTCTGATGACATGGTGAGCAACTGCCGGGCTGCAAGGATGGCGAGACATGACTCGGCTCACACCGAACAGGGACATTCATTGTGCGCTTGTATTGGGACGTCCCGGCAGCATCGATTGGCGTATACTTCCGCCAAGTCTCCCGATAGATACGCCCCTGCCAAAGGACCGCCGCAAAACACCCATTGCGCCAAGAGATGACGAGAAAGATCCCCCGACACCGTTGACCAGGGGCATTTGGGCATTTAAGCTCGTGGGCCCGATGCGAGAGATCCTGGAGTTGGAGCACGATGGCGCGTGTCCTAAGGACTACTCCAAAGTGGACCGAGTACACCAGATGTGCCTGGAGCTAGACGAGACGACGCCTGCCTACTTCCGCCTGGAGAATCCGGACCGCAGGTGGGATGACGAACCGTCATGCTACTGGCTTCAATCGGTTCGGTTCTACCTGCCGCAGATGAACCTCTTCAACTTGATGGCTCTGCACAGGCCATACATATTCAACAGGCAAAAGAGTCGTACCGAGGCGCTCAAGGCAAGCATTGAAATGCTGCACCGCCAGATGCTCACGTTCCAGGGTCTCGATGCTGGTTCGTGGCGAAAGTAAGTAATGGTGAGCCGAGCGGTTTTGCCCAATGACTAATATGTTGCCAGCTTCTCGCTGTTTTTCGGCAGCTTCGACGCGGTAGTGCTCATGGCGTCGATATACATCCTTTTCCCCAAGGAGAATCTAGACATGGCCGGGAGCGCGATGCAGCATTTCCACTGGACAACGGAAAGATTTGAAGCAATGCAGGAGAGAAATCCTCTCGCCAAGGCCGCCAAAGGGGTCCTCCAAGCCATCTTTGTCAAATTCAAGAAGGCTGTCGGAAACCCAGCACCGCCGCCAAGCATGTCAAGTCTAGCGTCGCAAACGCCGGCATCGACAACGGAGAGCAGCAGCAGCATATCGGCCCGGGGATCGGTTTCCACGACGGCGAACACGGCGGATACACCAGTTAGCAAGAGCAGCACTGTGGCAACACCGACATCACAGCCAACCGCGCCCGACACATCATCATACCCCATGCCATCGTCGCACTCGGAGTGGACGATGCCGAACAACTGGGACTTTACGACGATTGCGCCACTCTTCCCGATGGGAGATCTTATCTACCACGATCTGAACGGGATACCAGAGGACGGGTCGTTGCCGGCGTGGGGAGCAGCAACACCGCCGCCGCCGGCAGCCGGGCAGACATTTGAAGGAGATTTCGGGAACGATAGTGTGTGGAACATTTTAAACCAGTACGACCCGACAACCGCTTGAAACCCAATTTTGGAAGCAAAGTTGACAAGGAGAGAAGCGATAGCCACCGGAAAGTAATTGACTCGGATTTGGTCAGACGAAACTGGGGAACACCCTGGAAGCAGATGGAAAGTGCACAACGACTATGAGCAAACGGCAAGGCAGTCTTCAAACAGCAAAAGAAGGGGAGGGAAATCAGCCTGGAGGAGAAAGGTGAGAGGTTCGCTTCGTGGCGGCGGCTGGATACATGAGCTCGGGATGCTACCATTGGATAGATTCATCGATGGGTTGAGCTGGAATGCGTTTTCAAGCATGGCTTAACGCTGGTCGTCCCCTGTCGATGATGCCCGTCAATCACAGAGGCAGAGCCCGGGGTGATCACCCCAGGTGTGGGGCCGACGGCACCTCATCGATTTAGCGCCAGCGGAGACGCTGACACCCACGCCTGCTTGTCGGTTCTAAGGTGCTTCGCGATGGAATGCCACATGGCCACAGAGTGCAAGTGATCGTGTCAGGCCAATCTGGATGGCAAGCCTCGTATCTTTAAGAGAAGTATGTACATTCTTGGGGAGGGAAACAAAAGCATTAGTCTTTCAGATCTAAATTATACCCTCTTGGACCAAGTTTATTGATTTTCCGAGCTGAGGGTGAGGAACACTGGACGTTGGTTGACGACAGGGATACGTACTGTTTAATGAGCCAAGGACATCACCCGGCGGGCGACAAACGGACTCGTATCCGAGACTGAGAGACGACGGGTGGGCAATTTTTTTTTTCCAATTGATTTTTTTCTGGGGATGACGAACTGGTAGGGACGGAAAAAAATCAATTTACGCCAGTCAACGCGTCGTAGCGTGTCTGACATCTTGTCAGTCGAGGTGCTGTTAGTTGCTTTTTCACGAATCTCTTCTGCAAGTATTTCCCTCCCAGACGAAGTTTTTTTTCTTCTCATAACCGGAGACGCTTTCCCCATCTATCATACGTCCATCCATCTGCCTATGCATCATTTCTCGTCCGGGACCCAGCAGGACACAGGACGCAGGTTACAGGACTCTGCTTCTGCTTTCCGCTTCACCGCTCTCTGTTTGCTCTCCACGTCAAGCAGGACACAGAAATCGGCATCTCGAAGACGGGGTTCTTAATTTGTATGATCCGCAGAGCCAGGGGCGGTTTCCTATAAATTCGAGAATGTCGGGATAGAAGCGAGAAATACATGGCCCAGACGAGCAAGACCTAAGCAGACGATCTGGATATTCATCGAGGTTGCCTTTCCAGCTTCCCCATCATTCCAACAAGTCCTGTTGTTAACCTGAACTGGTCTCGCAGTCGCAGTCCCGGACATACCATCCGATCCAATCCAATCCAGACCCTTCACATCTCACCACTTAACTACCTTGGGCGTTGTCTAGCGTTGCATCGCACCGACCTTCACTTTCACTGTCTCTTTACCTCAAAGCCCAAGGCACATTTCCTACATTACCTACCTTGGCTTGCCTGCCCATCTCATATCTGCTTGGCTCGAGGTGAAGGTCGTACCTACCTGGCTTACCTCTCGCTACCTGCCTACTTACTTACCTGACCTGGCCAGACCGATCATCTTGAATTGTATCGCATCGCATTCCAGCCCCAGCCTACCTGAGGAAGTCCCGCCCTCCTCGAGAATATCTTCCTGCCGTACCTCGTCACCTTCATCTTCACCTTTCCTCTTTCATCAATCGCCGATCGAATTTGGACCTGGTCAGGCGTCGTCGTCCCATCCTTGCTGCCTCGGACTCTGCTCAATTCTTACTGGCAAGCTACTTCTTACCTGTCGCCTTTGAGCTGCCCGCACGACCTCTTTATTTTTTTATTTTTTTTTCTTTCATCCTGTCCACCAAAGACTTTTGAGAGACGCGGTCAGCCACACAAAGATTTTTCTTCCCCAACCTTGGGCGCTCCTGCCACACCCGTCGCGCAAGCCTGATCGCTACATAACGACTTAACCTGAGGTACCTACCTACCTACCCAGGGAACTTCCCATCTTTCGAGAGGTACGACCTGCCACTTCAGGTCTCAGTCGCACCAAAAGACAAGGCAGGCAGGCACACTGATACCTGCCCCTCCAGCTTCCATCACAGTCAGGTCGGCAAGAAGACCCTTAATCTGCCTTGGGCGGCTGGCGATACCACAACAGACGCGACCCAAGCACAGACACAGGCACAGGCACAGGCACGGTACTTTGCTGCTTTCCTTGCCTGCATCTCTCAGCGCCAATCGCGACTGCAGCCCACCCGTCTCGGACGTCTTATTGCAGCTTCATTCGCACACAAGCCCGCCTCGTTTTATGCTGCCTACCTTACCTCTACCTCACCTTCCTGTCCGCCTGCTACTGTTACCGCTGCTACTACTACGTACTGGTAGTTTCTTTTCCTCCCCCGCAACATCAGCAGAAAGAAACATACAGCACACCAACGGCCCAGCCCAAGCCGCAGGGCCCTACCTTAGTCCAGTCAAACATGTCGACCAACAGCACCACAACCACTTCCTCTACCAACACCAAGACCACCCCTGCTGCTCCCTACTTTCTTACGAGCAGTTCCCCTCTGCCTTCTTTCTCATCCTCGCCTGCCGTCCGCTTCCCTTCTGTCACAGGTCTCGCAAGTATGGAAAGAGCCAAAACCATGGCCTTGAACAACAACGACATAATGGATTTTGTCGGCCGATATCAAACCTTGCAAACTTATCAATCCGCCAACGACCAGCTGATTAAGGTGGGTTCTGTTCCGTTCCGTTTTCCTCGCTTCACGTCCCTTCGGCGCTCTTTTAAGCTTCCCCTCCACCTCAGTCTGCAGAGAGACCAAAGCTCCATAATCCCCAGCATTTCGCCGCATGGCCAAGTCGTTGGGGGGGGGGGGGGGGGGGGGGGGGGGGGGGGGGGGGGGGGGGGGGGGGGGGGGGGGGGGGGGGGGGGGGGCG